CAAAACCAGCGCTCTCTTCTTTTGGGGTACCTAGTGTTCCAGATCAAGTCTACGACTTTTGTAGAATTTTGTTTGGAGTACTAAATTTTAATTTTTATAGATTCCTCTTCAGAATTTAGAATAGGGATTCTTAACCTATGATCTGTGAATTTAAAAGAAAATTAAGTATATTTCAGTATAATCACTTTCCTTTGTTAACCCCCATGTATTTTATGCACTTAACATTATTTTGAGAAGAGGTCTATTGCCTTCACTAGACTTCCAAAGGGGTCCATGTCATATACAATGAGGTTAAGAACCCTGGGCTTGGTGTAACCTTCAGAGATCATCTGGTCCCATTCCCTCAAGGTTGTATCTTTCACAAGATCACACAACAGAACCAGGACTAGAACCCATCTCTGGTCTTTCATTTTCCATGGGGTCTAGTGCTCTTTCCCAGCCCTCTTTAGAATTAAGCCCTCCATTTGTTTTTTATTTGGAGGCAATCAGGGTTAAGTGACTTGTCTAGGATCATACAGTTAGTGTCTAAGGCTGAATTTGAACTCAAGTCCTTCTGATTCCAGGGCCAGTGCTCTATCCACTGTACCACCTAGCTGCCCCAAGCTCTCCATTTATTAAATAAGGGGTCAAGAAACAATCATCCTTTCTTCTGGCCCATACTCATCACTGTCTTCTGGAGGGTAGAGTTTAATGCAAACTGGGTTTACATGGTCCTTCTAGAACTTTTGTTTTTGACAATAGCATACACTGATTATGGCAGCATGGGTTTGAGAAGTGAAGAAAGACATCTTTTGAGGGAAGGTTAAAGTTTGATATCCTATGTTTATTCTGAAAAGATTGTTTTCCTTTGAACATAGGAAAATTGAGGACAGAGACATTTGTGTAACATGGTTCCTTTATGCTTTATTGAATTTCATTTTACAGTTGAGAAACACAAGGTTCATTTCAAATTTTCTGCCTGTTGACTCTTGGTAAAGAATGTTGGTAATTGTTATGATAACTCCCTGAAAAAGTCACGTTTCTTTCGCTTCTCACAGTTCAGAGAATTATTTTATAAACCTGAATCTCTGCAATTAGCCCAACTCATTTTTTTCCTTCTCCTTTTTATTAATTGTTCTCAATAGTTCTTTCCCTTTCTGGGTACTAATAAAAGCTGCCAAACCCTTGAAATGGCCTCAAACTCCAGAGCTTGGCAATCCTAAAGGGATTTACACATTCAAGGAGCTTTATAGACATATAATACAATGTATTTAATTTGTTCATTGTGGGACTTAAGATCTTGGCCCCCAGAGGAGTCAAATCTTGGCTTGGCACTGGGTAGCTGCTACCAGAGATCTGCCAGTCAGCATTCTTCCCTTTATGAATGCAAAAAAACCAGCCTCATTTCTCTAGGATTCCAAGACTTTGGAGAACAAGGAGTTCCTTCCACTACAAAGGAGGATGTAGAGTAAAGACAGCGAACAGGAATGAAAATCCAGCCTGAACAAGTAGAGAATGAAAGGGAGGCTAGACATTTATTCATTCACCAAATGCAAAGGTAGCTGTACAAAGCCATAGGAAAGACAGAGACATAGTAGTCATCCTACTAGTGAAGATTTACTAGCCCTACTTAATGTGGTAGTAGCCCTTCAGGATAAATATTAGATTTTGGATATGTGGATATGTACCTTATGTGAAGTGAAATTTAAAAAAACAACTGAGGATAGTAGTTATGGTCTTCCCAAAAAACGTCAGATTTACAGAATTTTAAAACTTGATAACAAATTTGAGGATTATTTTATAACACAAAAATACTCTCCATTGTTCAATATCTCACACAACAAAGTAAACAGAACCAGGAAAGCCCAGGTGTTGTTTAAATATGGCCCAATGCTATCAAAGTACAGCCTAATATTTTGGTTTGCTTTTATGTTATTACTTATAGATATAATAAAGGAAAAACAGACACCTAAAACAAACTTCAATATTTCTATTCAAAAGTTGACATATGCCATTTTAATGTATCCTGTGTTTGAGCCCCCCCCAACTTCTCATCACCTGAGAAATTATAAAATCCTCCTTCCATAGCTCACCTGCTTAAGTGTCTTACTAAACTTTGAGCGCTCCATCTATCTGAAAATAAGCAGATCTGCAGCCTAGTTTTAGAGATCATCTCCTAAAATTGTACCTTGACATCTCTTGTGTTGTTGTCACAGTATTGTGAGGTGGTAACTTGCCTTCTTTTAAGTGAGACTTTCCCTGTGTCTTGTCAAATGTAGCTTATACAGTTTTTAAAGCTAGCTTCCTATACTTAATGCACCAACGAACCTTCTCTAAAGCTCCTGCTGTTTGACAATATTGAAAAAAATTATAATGCCTGATGTTAACCACTGAATTTCTCTTGAGCAGTTCCAGAATTTGCTATATTAACACCAACAAATAAAGCTTATTAATGCAGCAGAGCCAAAGTTAGCTGCTCTTTCTACTGAATAATCAAATATTTTAGGGAAAAAATTCAGAACTCAGCTACAAAAAAAATGCCAATTTTCTGTTAACAAATCTAACTTTGGTTTCTTCTTAATATGCCATTAGCTATGATAATTTGCATTTATACTCTAGAGAAGTGGGGCAGACCTACATGGGTCAAAGGAAATAACTCTAGTCAATTTTCAGAAAAAGGAAGCTGAAACAAACATTTCGAGGGTATTTTTTATGTCATTGAAGCATATTTGTTCCAGTAGAGAATTATTAAGTGAAGGATAAGTGGAAGTGGTACCAGTTTCAAGGTCAATATATTTTAGTGTGGAATGGCATTTATTTTCCCTCTAAGGACTATGGGTAGTAAAGATATATGTACATATAGGCTCATTGATATATCATGTAATTGTATGCATTCATGCTTGTTGGATGTGTAGCAACAGTTAATTTTTCCCCCCTTGGGTTAATAGTGATTTGAAGTTGTGCTACAAGTAGGAAGTTTCCTAGACTAGTTTTCACAGTCCCCAAAGTTGTTTTTTCTATATATTATAGCTCAAAGCAAAGGATATGAAGCAATAAAATTTTTGCTTGTCTGAAATGAGTTAAGTTTACTTAGAATGGGGAAATTTGTGCTTTTCCTTCTAATATTTTTTGAGATAATATACTTGCCCAAACTCTGCTGCCTTTAGGCAATTCATGCAAATAGGTCTGGATCACCTGCTGGCTTCTGAGCTTTGGAGGGGAGTCTTCTTAATTTTGGAGAATGCAGGACCTATTAATCTCCTGGTGTAATCTCTTCTAAAATTCATATTTACATTCACAAGTTTCTGTTAATTTTTAAGGGCCTTTTCAAGTTCATTTTGCCTGGGGAACTCTGTAATATATGAGTTTGGGGATTTTCAAAAGTCAAAGGGAACAAATAAACCAATGATATACAAGATCCTTATGTCTGCCTCTGGGGTCCTGAGTGGAAGAGAAACCAGGTAACAGTTCTAGGGCACTGATATCAAGAGCAGCTACATCAGAGACACACTGATAACCCTACTTAAGTTGCCTTATTTTTTAAGTGGACTCTGGAGATGAGATATAAACAAAAATATTCTATACACAAATACAAGCTAATTGATAGTACAGAACATCTCATGTTTTCAACTGATTCTTCTCACCGTCATTTATTGCTGCAAATTTAATGAAGGGCTCATGATGAAGAATCATCCCCAATTTATGATTACCAGGTGTGAAGATATGAAATGTCAGCATTTAATAGTCAAGTTTTACTGAAACTTAAGGCTGAAATCTCAACTAGCCCTTGAGACCATTTGTGTTTATATATCTTATATATTGTATATGTCTCTCTAATATCATCTCAAACCCTCCCCACCCTTACCAGAAAACAAATCAAAAAAACCCACCACTTCTGTTTGCTCCCCAAATGAGTAAATACGAAGCAGATTACAACTGCTGTGTTTATTCCTCCAATGAGGGAAGGAGGGGCTAAAAAGTGGCCAACTAAATGTAGGTTTTTTAATAAACAACTATACACAAACATGTGGTTTTTTTTTAACATATAACAAAATTCTTCTAAAATGCTTTTCTTTGGCTGGCTAAATTGTGTGTGAAGATGCCAGCTATGATATGTCTTCAAGTGATTTTTATAACTAAAATGTTTGCCATTAATTTCTATTCTGAATTCTATTACAGTTGTGTAAACTTTGCACTCCTAAGGTTTCATAACGTAAAACATGATGTTTCAAACTAGGAATGTGAAAAAAAGGAAGTTTGCAATTTTTATAGTACATGATTTTTATTTAAATGATTGAAATTGATTAATCTTTCACCTTGATTGCAAAAAAAAAAACAAAATCAGCATAGTATAACTGCCTTCAGTAATGAGAGTTTAAGTATCTTTTTTAAATAACTGAGATTGTTACTCAGTACCTGATAAAATCTCCTGTGCATATGTATATACAAATCATGACCAATATGACTGGCAAATCCTAAAATTTTCCCAGCTCAGGAACAGACATCAGGCAACTCATGAAGCCAGAGATTCAACATCCATCAACCAATACATTCTGAAAATCTTCCTCTCTCTTCCTCTGATAGGGGCCGATCAACTTATTACAGTAATTCATCTTTATTGTGGAAGCACTTTTACTATTTAGAGAGTCTACTGTTAATTTTTCTATTTGATAAAGCTATCATAAAACATAGAAAAAGCAAACATTTAGCCACATAGCTATTTGAGAGAGAACTATCACATTATATCTCCAAAATGTCATAAACTCAAGGCTCTGTCTGTAACATCTTGAGTCAGATTTTTGTTCCTCTCCTGTGTACCTTAAGAATGTGAGAATATATATATATATATATATATATATATATATATATATATATATATATATATATATATGTATGTATGTATATATTTTTATGTATGCGTGTATATATATATATATATATATATATATATATATGAATATTTCATCGATGTACACAACACTAGTTCTCTCAGTCAAACCAAAAGGCCAAAATAGTACTGCTCTTTTGAAATTTTTTTTATAAAATACAGTATTCTTATGAAAACTATTTTAAAACCTATCACAGTGCTTGAAATCTAAAGACCAGGCAGTGTTTTGGCAACCCGACTCTCCTTTATGAAATGATAGATATGAGCATACTGGTAACATATGGTGCTTACAACAAAATAATACCCACAGAGACTTACAAGTCATAAACTACAACACATGAGCCATGTTTTGAATAAATATGACTATTCAGGAACACTGAATTATATAACAAGTTGCTTGTGAGTTCAAATACTTTAAGAGAACAAAAACTCTTGCTACAGCAGCTTTAAATTACAAAATAGAAGAAAAAATAGTCTATTCGTGTACCTTTTCATGGAAGCTCTATAAGAGCCAAAACATTCTCTGAACTCTATTGAAGTTGTATCATCTCCCATTCCAAGTTGTAGCAACTCTTCATTGTTAATGCTATTCCTAACATAACTAGCTAGAATGCCTCCTCTAGAAAGAAGCCGATAATAGAACTGTTGGACAAACTAAACTGAATGTGAGTCTAAGCTACTCGTAACTTGCAAGATGAACAATTTACTCCAAGCTATGTTAATAGTGACGTGTACTGAAAGCGTACGATGGGATTGGAAGCTGAGAAGGTCCCTTCTGCCATCTAGAATCACTGAGAGATATCTCTGGAACATATCCAGTTGAAAATACTCTGTGTTTTCTACACTATTCTCATAGAAGGAATTATGATTATGGAAGAATGTAATAGTAAGATGGATGTAATGGTAAATACGTTGTGGTTTTGTGAACACTCATCACTTACATCAGTCTTTATATATAGTGTATCTGGTATCAAACTTCTCTCCATTGTGCTAAAAGTTAGAATAGTTTTAAATCTGGTAAAAACAATTTTTTTTTTGCTAAGAAAAGATAACACCTTTGTAAAATAAATTTTCAGGATCTCAAATGTTGAGATAATTCTGTACTGAGATTTCCTGCTCTCTCTTCAACCCATGACAGGGTTTCATCATAACATCAAGCTTTTGCTAACCTTCTGATTTTCAAACAGGTCCAATTAATTTGGAACTATTTTTATGAACTTTTTTGTGCTTCATGCTTTTCTCGTGTTGCCTTGTTTCGAGGCAACCAAAAAAATTTTTTTAGTGGTTCAGGCAAAACAATTGTTATACTAACACCCCTGTCTGTGAATTAATGACCTGAAAAATTGTAAGCATGAAGTGTTCATTAGGTAGTGATCAGATACCAAACTGGACCTTTCTGCTGAGTAGGGGAGGGAGGAGTAAAAAACAAGTTAATAAAATACTGGAACTAGAATTCTCATCCAGTTTGATATGTTTCCCAAGAGGGGGGAACCATCAGTTATCTTAAGTAAAGCCATTTAAGAAAGCAGTTAAAACAAACTACCAAAAACGAGTTTGCTGTTCTAAAATTAACGGTGGCTTAACCAGTTTAAATTGCACAAAGAACAAGCCAGCGGACTTTCCATTCTTTGTATGTTTCTTCCCCCTTGTGAGTCCATTACCTTTCACAAAGAAATTTTAACTATTAAACTTGTCCATTAATTTTGCCGCTGAGGGTGAAACCATCCAGTTAGCATATACACTATCATTTGCATATCTTGAAAACACAGAGTTAGTGCCATCGAATCTTGTGAGTGGGACAGGACTCTCCTCAGGCCAGTTCGGGTATGACATGCCTAAAAATGAAAACAGATAATTTTTTCTGCACTGAAGAACCAAAACTTCATGTGCAGACAGTAAGGCCCTTGGCAAAACTCCCTTTGTTGTCAAAAACCAAACTTCTGATTTCTGCACCAAATAAATGAATTATTCTAGGTTTCCAGGTTTTTGAAACACAAATTACATTAATGGGCAAAAAATTGAAAGTTCTCTTGTTAAAATTAACTCTGAAGGAACAACTGGCTTGGGCTTTTATAAGCTTCCCAGTATCAAAACTTATATTTTAATAGCAACAAAAAGGAAAAACAGCATGATGCTGTCTCAAACAGGTCATTGTAACAAAAAGGTTTTTTTTTTGTTTTTGTTTTGTTTTTGGTATGGAAAGTGCTTTAAGCTAAAATAAGCCTACTTAGCAGTCATCATGGAACTACCAGATACTTCTGCTTATTCCACGGGGCATAAAGGACCTTGAATATCCGAGAGAAGCATGCATGCCTGCCAGATACCACATCTAGATTCTACACTAAATCCAAAGTTATTTACAAATCATAGATTCACTATGCTGAAAAATGGAGAATCCTCAGTTAAAAAAAATTCCACTTCAAGTTTTTGTTTTAAATTACAAAATTACAAGACAAGAAAATAATCTTTAGAGAACCTAATCAGGAGGCAAAAAGTAGGAGTTTTGGCAAGAACCGTATTTACTGTCCATCTCACCACCACAATATGCTAGAATATTCTTCTTTCAAAATACCTGCTACAGCTTTTTATGATAGCATCATGAGGCTATGTAGGAACACAAAGGATATGAAAACAGTGGACTGCCTTTACTTTCCAGAGTTGCCATCACTGCTTTATCTTTCTGAAGGCTCTGAGAGCAGCACTCACTTTCTCCTGCTGTCTAGACAGGCCAAGTTAAGTTAAGGTCCCATCTCAAGTTAAGCATAGATCTCTGCCTATTAAACCTCTCACTTATATATATGAGAGCAGAGACTGAAGCATTCATATTGTATGAGACAAGACTGTTCAAATATATTGGGCCCCATTCCCAAATTGAGCTACATCTTTTTCATTTTTTTTCAAAGCAAATGCTTCCCAAAATCCAGTTGATTTGCCCAAGCAGTTAAATTACAGGTGCATTAATCTGATAAAATGGATCCCATTTCCCCACCCCATCCCCCCAAAATGTATATTTTATTTATTAACCACATTTAAAACCTCCCCTGAGAATACTTTCCTGATCTATTTTTCTCCTTTTATCATACCTATTTGGTAGTTTTACTTATTTTCACATCCCTTTTCTTTTTAAACAGAGTTGTAAAATGCCTGAAATATAAACCTAATGCAAAGTTTAACATTTACAAACAAAAAAAGCTTTCCAAGCAAACTTTGATTTCATTCGAACCAGAAACACTCTTTAAAGGGATACAGAGTGTAAGGACAGTGCAGAAGGAAAAAATAAAATCAGGATTGTGTGCGTGTGTGTATGTGTGTTGCTAGAATCTAGTAAATGCATGTGAAATTCTACCATAGAGTTTGTTTTCAATCCATGTGGAAGGGAGGGTTCGAGGGAGGGGAGCATTATTACAGTCCACGAGGGGTGTCTCCTCTTCTGAAAGGCCATCGTCATAAAGTAAGGAGTCAGATGGGGTGGAAGCTGCAAGATCCAAGTAGTCCTAGCAAAATGGAGGTGTGAAAGAAAAGCCAGGTCATAACAAAGGGAACAATGTGTAGCCTTTCCCAAAGGCATGGAGTAGAACAATAAATGCTGAACCCACCTAGGATATTGTCTGCATGACCTCCTTTACAAATTCTTGGGTCACCCAACATAAGAATGGAAAATTCCTTAGAATCCTTCATTTAAATCACTCATGTTTTGCCAAGTGTTTCCCATTAAGTATATAACAGTATTATATATATATGTGTGTGTGTGTGTGTATACACATATACACACATATATATGTATATACATATATATATATATATATATATATGAACAAGTGTTTCCAAATAAGCATATGAAAGTATATAATAGATATGCAAAGATTTGCCAGATATGTTTGATACTTTCTTAGCTCTCCTTTAAAGAAACTACTGTTATTGCAATGTCCCATTGGTGTTTTAAAACTTTTCATAATAAAAAATTCTCTAAACCAGTGTCCAACTTTCCCCCCCACTAGAATGGGAGATTCTTGAAAGAAAGAACTAGTTTTCTTTCCCTCTTCTTTATATTTCCAGTGCTTAGCACAATGCCCAGTACATAGCAGGCACCTGATAAATGCTTACTGATTGAGTACTGTGCTACCTCAATATAGATGGAGCTCTCCAAGGCCAGTGGAATGCAAGTTCAAATAACAGGCCCTAGAAATCCTGAACAGGGTTCAAATACTGGCTTCAAGGTGGTCTGTGTGTCTGCCAACGAAGGACCAGCTTAGCTAATTTCAGGGACCCTCATTACTAAAAGTTAGGCTAGTCAGGAATTTTCTGTTTTCTCAGACTGGGTTTATATTGTCCAGCATGGAGGTACAGCAGCTACTCACAGACCTGATCTTGATGGTGATTGGCTCAGAAGCTTTAGCTTGCTCTGTTCTTCTCATCTAGGCCAATTCTCCCCTACCTCATGCAATTCTGTGGCACTCTCCTCCAGGGAGGCTCACCATACAGATGCCAGACTTAGCATGGACACCTGATTGGTTGTAGCCCTACTGCAACTCTGGACTCTGGAATTCAAGTGACCCACCTGCCTTAGTCTCCCTAGTAGCAGGGATCACAAAAATGTGTCACCATACCTGGCTGAGATTAATATATTTTAGACACTTCATATTTACTTAAGGCAAGAAGTGACAAAGTGCCTAAAGCTTGCTCTAGCTTCTTCTATCACACCAAGACTGATTCAGTTAGGTTTTCAGGGGTTTTCTTTTACAATTGTTTGCTAATAGCCATCCTTGGGTGTTAGGTTAAAATGTCTGGCTAGCACTTCAATATTCAAATGATCCCACTGGGTATCATGACTTTGACCAGAGAAAATGCAGTCTGCATTATTGTGTGCAAAACAAGACTTCAATGACCAAGGCATAAGGAGCCATTTGGTAATTAAAGCAGCAAATTTCTCACAACTGAATTTGAAATTCTAGGCTAGGGGGTATTTTACATGGCAACAGATCATTCAGAACTAGAAATCCTTAACTTTCAAAATAGAATCAGAGAGCCAAAAATCTAAGTAGACTCACCCTACTCTTCACCATCATCTTCTCTAGGTCTTTGCTGATTTCCCCAAATATTGGCCTCTTATCTGGTTCCTGCTTCCAGCAGTGCAACATCAGATTGTACCTGCAAGAGATAAGAGTGAACCAGTGGGAGCAGGATGGCTTTGGACTGATTTCTTAAGCCCCCATATCCAGAGGTAAAAATTTTCAAATATTTTAACTTTTTCATTCATTCTTTTTCAAGTATATCCTTTATTTTGGTCCAGGCAACACAGTGTAGTGGATAGAGTGCTGGACTGCAAAATCAGGAAAAATCCCACCTTAGGCACCTATTTACTACCTGTGGGACACTGGCTTTGTCCCTTAATCTCACTGGACCTCAGTTTCCTCATCTGTAAAATGAAAAAGTTGAACTCAATGACTCAATTCTAGCTTTAAATGATGTTATATCAGTATAGGTAATTTTTCAAAGAGGAAACTCCCTCTATTTATTTGCTCATCAAATTATATTCTTTCTGACTTAAAGGCCAGCTTTCTACTCACTCAATGACTTAGCCTATCCATATCATTATAAACTGATTGACTATTTTACCACTAGGGTTCAATATCTTGGGCACTGAGGTACACATGCTCAGCAGCAGACTCTTCTATTGGCCATGCGTAGTTTTGGGCTGGTATTTATACGCTCTTTATAAGCACAAAATGCCAGTTTAGTGCTAGCATGCTCTTTTGAAGTCTTAATATCATTTCTGGACTTTGCTAGAACATTTTGGAATCTCTCCTTAATAATTTGCTGAATGAGCTTTCATTTCAATGCAAATGAGACCTGTAGTGAATTGTTCAAATAATATACAATAAAGATGATATGTAAACACCAGGTAAGTAAAAGGCTCCAACTTTGAGGATAAAATGTGTACCCATTTGCATGTCCTTAAAAATCCTTTCAATTGTTCCTGAATTTCTTTTATGATTTTTTGCTAGTAGCCATCCTTGGGTGCTAGGCTAAAATGTTTGTCTAGTACTTGAAAATTCAAATGATACCATTGGGTATTATGACCTTGTCACAGAAAACTACAGTCTGTAATATGTGTGTGCAAAAGAGGACTTACTCAATGACCAAGGTATAAGACCAAGGTAATTAATCAGATAAGCATAATAATATCTGCTAATTGTTTCATGTAATAGTTTACTTCCTCCTAGAAAATTCCAGAATTTAAATAAATGAATAAAATCAAATTATACTTACATTTCTTCACTGCAGTTTTCAGGCCTCTCCATTCGATAGCCTGTTTTTAGAAGGTTGAAGAGACGTTCAGGAGGAATACCAGGATAGGGGTTTCCTCCTAGGGTCACAATCTCCCAGAGAAGCACGCCAAATGACCACCTGAGGAAAAAAAGCAAGTCCTTAAAGTGGTTCAAATAGTGAGGAAATACTGTAAATAATCTTGTACTTCTTGTAGAGTGCGGATGCATACCCCCTTCTAGCTCTCAAGCAAAATACTGGCATGTCACATCCAGCCCTTAAGATGACCTCATCTGCAAGAAGAACAGGTCTGTACCCTGTCCATGTCCTATCAATCATGAAGGTATGACCACTATTCCTTGAGAATTTCTGCCCTAGCTATAAAAAAAATTGGATCGAATGACATGTTAGCACCCATATATCACTTTTTTTTTTACTGACTAAGTAATTAACTAGGATTTAGCCATAAGTCAGGTTCAGTCCAAAGTGTCTAGATACTTTGGTTTTAACATTCTGTTTAGAAAAACAGGAAGGTCTGCTTCTTTAGAGTCCAGAGCCCACCAGTTCTGTTTTTGCCTGCTACTAACTAGCTGTTTGACCCTAGCAACATCAAACAATCTCTGTGAATGAGCTTCTTTGATCTTTACACTAAGAGAACTGGGTTTCCCATTCACCTATAAGACATGTTCCTAAATAGTTTGTAGGACCATAGATTCAGAGACCTTAGAGGTCAGGTAGGCTAACTTGATGAGAAAACTTGAGGCCCGAAGACATTAAATGACTTTTCTAAGGTCACACAGATTACAAGTGTAAGAGCCAGGATTTGAGCCCAGGTCTCCTCATATTCCAAGTCCAAATGCTTTTTCCATAGTACAAAATTATTGATGAAATTTCCTTTCCAGAGTTTAGAAGGTAAGGGAAATAGACACTACTTTATGGTGCTGTCATGCAGAGAAAGTTTTCCTTGGGTGAAAGGAAAAAAACCTCTATCAAGAAATGTATTAATCATTCACATCAAATCAAAAGGAAACTGCCCAATCAGTTTCTAGGACTTTGGGGTCCAGGAAACACCTCATTCACAAATCCTATCACCCCCCCTCCCCGCCTTTCATGTTTGTCAGCCACTTGGAATCATGAATGCTAACACTTTAGTGACAAAGACTTCCCTTTTCCCAACGCCTCAGCTAGCTACTTGACTTCTGTGTCCACTACAAAAATATTCTAATCAGCTATATGGCAAGAAAATCTAGCCTACCTAAAATTAAGGGTCATTAAGGTCAGAAAGCTGAATAGTCAAAAGGTATATCAAATGGCCAGCCTGTTCAGGCATCCTTTGCAGCATTGGAATTAACAAAAGACACCAAGTTACCTTTGCAGGTATGGGGAGGAGGAGGTGGAGAAGAAGGTACCTGTCTCTTACTTGGCCCCAGGCAGTAAAATAGTTCTAATAAAAGAGTGGTCTCCAGCAGATTGAAAAGTCTGGCTTGCTATTACAAACAGGGCAGGTTTCTTCCTGCCCTCCCTTGCTTAAGTTCAAGAATAACCCCTTCCTGATGAAGAGGAAAACATGCACCCAACTGTTCAGAGGAGGTGAGTGAGGAAGAGTGGAGAGAGGAGGGAAGGTGAGAGTACAGGAGGCATGATGCTGTGTACAATTCTCAGGAGAACAAGACAGAGAAGACTCGGAACACAGAAAGAAAGAATCTGATTGGAGGCATACACCATGACTTGACCAGAACTACTAAGTAACCTTCATGACACAGATCTTTAGAGGCCTTTAGATGACACAAAACTGGCCAGGAAGACTGAACCACTGGGTGAGAGGATCTGAAACTATTCTGATAGGCTTGAGCAATCAGTTCAATTTAAAATGAAGTTCAATAAGGAGAATTATATAATGTCATGCTTGGCTTCAAGAAATTATCCTCCCCTACACAGAAAAGCATTGTGAACCATCAAGTTAGAAAAGATCTGGAGGGGTTTAGGAGACTTCAAGCTCAATGAGTGATCTTTGTGACACAACAGCCAGAAAAATGAATGCCATCTTGGCTATCGTAAGAAAGGCATGACTTCCTAGAATAAGGAGGCAAAGGTCTTTTTGCACTACCAGAAGGTGAACACACTTCTGTTGTGCGATGTTCAGTTGGAGAACCACAGTATAAGAAGATCGAGGAGAAGCCCAAGGGCATCCAGAGGCTGGCAACAAGAATGATGAAATAAATGCTGTAAGTCTACATCATATGAAGCTCACCTGAAAGAACTGAGGAGATTTAGCCTAGAGGAGAGAAGACTTATAGGGAAAACTGAGAGCTGTCTTCAAATATGTGACAGGCTGCCATGGGGTTTTATTCCATTTGGCCTCTGAGCATAGAACAACGAGCAGCGGGTGGATACTGCAGAGAGGCTACTTTAGGCTTGACTCAGAAAAAACTTCCTAACAATAAGAGGTGTCCAGGGGCAGCTAGATGGCGCAGTGGCTAGAGCTCTGGCCTTGGAATCAGGAGGACCTGAGTTCAAATCTGGCCTCAGACACTTGACACTTACTATCTGTGTGATCCTGGGCAAGCCACTTAACCCCAATTGCCTCACAAAAAAAAAAGTTGTCCAAAAGTGAGCTGGACTCCTCTTCATTGGAGGTCTATTTTTACTACTACTAATAATTATTATAATAACTAGCACTTTCACAGCTTGAAGGTTTGCAAAGAGCTTTACATATATTATCTCACTCTCACAACAACCCTGCAGGGCCTTTTATTAATACTACTTTATATATGAGGAAACTGAGAAGGTGAAAGATTAAGTGACTGGCCCAGGATTACAGAGATAGTATCTGAGGCAGAATTTGAACTCCCACCTCCCTGTCTCCAAGTCTGTTGCCACAGTCACTGCACAATCTTGATACCCAGCTCTCTTCAAACAGAAGCTAGATGGTCACATATCAAGGTGTATGGGGTGTTCAGGGAGGATCAGGGCCTCTGGTGTGAGCTGTTTTCAGAGCTGCTCATCCATCTTTGGTGCCTACCTGATTCCCTCATCCATCGTGGGTGCCCCCACCTAATTCTGGCTCCAAGAAGCTGTAGCACAAGTAGCGGCCAGACCCTGGCAAAACCATCTCAGCAGACAGGCTAAACCAGGTTGAGGGTAAAAGAGTAATCAACAGAACTCAAACCTGTTGGTGAATTAGGGGGTGTGCACCCCAAGCACGTGCAGACTTTCTCTCACAGAATGGGCAGATAAGAACAATCTGTTCCAAAAGCCATGGAAGCAGCTGGAGCAGGTCCAGCAGCCATCAAAGCAGCCAAGGTCACCCACTGCATCCTGGGCCATCACTAGTTGTCTTGACTTTTGTCTTGCCACTGGATTTCAATGACTCAGGAAGAGAGAACGAGGCTGATGACTCTGTGCAGCTCTGCCTCACTTAAATCCAATTCATAAGCAAGTCAAGACATCACCGGTGATGTCATCAGTCCTCTTTCGAAAATGAAAGATGAACAACAACAGACATTTCTCTCAGCTATAGTTTACACTGCTAAGATCTCTTCCGCCTCAGCTCTGATTTTGTGAATGCCATCTTTTTGAACAGCAGGGCACAGGCTTGTCCCTGCTCTAGCTTTCACTGTTCTCCCCTTTCCTTCCCCCAATAATTATAATAAATAACAATCATACAACAATTTAAGATGTGTCATCCATAGAACATTCAAAATAAGCCTGCTCCCAAACACGCCTGTGATTTGTGATTAATGACTGTTCAAGCTAGAATCTGGATGACGAATCTGTGTCCGAGCAACTCCGTGTGTGTTGGCAAAAATAGACCAGTGAGGAACATAAGAGCTGGCCCTATGAGAGCTTACTTGACTGTTACTTGATCTATTTGATTCTGCTGCTGTTTGATGGAAATGGGAGTGAAAAATGAGAAACCCATGCTACTGGAGGACTCCTAGCAAAAATCACACTCAAGTATAAAAAAAGAGAAACTTCTTCAGATCAACAAACCTAGGGGAAAGGAGCTGATTACAGAGGAAAATGGAATAAAGTTACAGGTATTTCATTTGCTTAGGTAAAAAAATTACTTTACCACAAACCACTTTACTAAAAAAAAGTGTGTATTAAAGTAAGTTTCAAATATGATTTACAGCATATTTTGGACATCCTACTAAATCACAAGGAAGATGCCCTACCCTAAGGAAATTCAGCCTTAAAAAATTGGCTGTCCCAGTTATTAGGAGGCAGTACAGTACAGAGGGAAAAGAAATGTCTCTGGAGTCAGAGGATGTGAATTCAAATCCTGACTCTGTTGATTACAAACTGTGACTTGCTGGACCCCAGGACTTTGGGCAACTCACTTAATCTTTCTGGTCCTCAGCTTCCTCATCTGTAGAATGAGTAGCGTAGTCTAGATAGCCTGTGATGTTCCTTCTAGCTCTAGAATTAAGGATCATATCCTGTGAGCATTCATCCTGTCCAACTTTGAATAGCTTACGCCATCAAAGACAGTTAATTTCGTAACGACAAATCTTCATTTCAGTTCTTTTTTTAAAGTGTATTCATTTGTTGGAAAATTCATCCTTTTTCATGGCCCATTCTGCTACAAACCCTTAAGAATTTGGGCTCCACGAAAGTTACAATGTTCATGGACCTCAAGTCCACACTCTTCCCTTAACCACAGACTAATGTGAGCCTGAGATGCAACCTTTTGCTTCTTGCAATTTGACCACCAGCCTAGTTGTAAAGGTTTCATGTCAAAGAATAAAGGTAGCTATACATTTGTCACTGGATTCCAGCACACCCACGAAGGTGATCTTAGTATTAGAAATAGAGGAGACTGACCAGAGAGAGACCCCTACCTCACTTCTTAGGTACGCCATCAAACGTCATCAGAACTTCAGCTACCATGAATTTGTCTATCAACTCAGATGCACGACCAAAAACGGAAATAAAACATGATGAGCTGTGCTCCTACAGCTGTATTATCTATTTCATTACAGACCCAACCACCCGTGACAGGAAAGCTGTAGTCAATGCACACATGGGTGTATTAAATGAATATGCTAGATTCACCAAGAAGTCCATACAAGTACACACTTACACATCACTTTGGGTCGTGTAGATATGATCAAAAAGAGACTCAATCGCCATCCACTTTACAGGAATCCGGCCCTATGAGAGAAAAAAAAAGAACAAAGACATTAATATGGCTCAAAATCAACTGATAAAGTCCTGGGTGGAAATATCATGCATAGTATGGTGAGTGGAATCACCTACTGCGCAATCTCAAATGCCCATAATGTACCTTTCTGAGTGAAATACCAGGTATCTAAGTGCATGAGACAGGTCAAAACAGACAAACAAACAAATAAGGAGCCTGACACAAAGTAAGCTCTAAATAAATGCTTGTTGACTGACTGACTGAGAGGTAACTAAATATCCAACCTAATCTGACCAGCTCAGGAGAGCCTCTGGAAGCTTAGTCAGAATACCTGGGTTCAGATTCCAGTTCTGTCCTTAGTAACCTGTGTGGCCTTGATCAAGTCACTTAAGGGAACCAATCTTTGCCCAAAAGAAACTGCAAAGTAGGACAAAGAACGTGGCGAGTGAGGGGCGGCACCGGGCCCTATCTATGGAAAAGAAGAGGGCTTAGACTGCCTTAGGCTGTTCAGAACTCTACCACTAATTTGCTTCTGGACCACCACATGCCACTCCCAGAAATGGGCTCGGGCTTATTACCACTTGTGAAAAGACAATACAGATGATCATGGTGAGCAGCATACCTCCCTCCAAGTCATACAATGAGAGTTGTCTAAGAAGCCTTCTGACTAAATCTGTGATCCCGTGAAGTAATTCAGATGGTCAACTGCCCAGCAGCATCAAAGTATCAGATGATCACCACCGCATATCACTGCCTATGCCAGAGGGAGCTCACTTAATAGAGCGCAGTATTAGAGCAAGGAGGAAATGGGGAAAAAGACACTGGCAATCAACAGTCCTGGGGTCCTCTCCTGGCTCTACCACTTATTAACGATGTGATAATGAATTATCTGGGTTACTAGGTGGTGCAGTGGATCAGTTCAAATCTGGCCTCAGATACTAGATTGTGTGACCCTGGCCAAGTCATTTAAGCCCGTTGGCCTCAGTTTCCTTATCTGTAAAATGAGCTGGAAAAGGAAATGACAAACTACTCTACTATCTTTGCCAAGAAAACTCCAAATGGAGTCAGAAGAAGTCAGACACAACTGAAAAATGACTCAACTCAACTGAGCTATCCCTTAGCCTCTCTGAGTCTCATTTTCTCCCATTAGAAAATGAGGTCAGACTGTGATCTCTACAGACCCTTCCAGCTCTATGATTCTCTGATTCTATACTGTATACAAAAGGCCAGCTGACCAGCCAATGCACTCCCTACCAGGATTTTAGAAATCTGTAGATATTGGTCAAGACTTAGCAATCTACCACTTACAGCATAGAAAAATATCTATAAACCAAAGTATTCACAAAGTTTTAACATATAAAATGACAATATAATGGATTTTTTTTACTAGAAGCATTCACTGTAATATTTTCTGCTCAAAAATCATTTTGAGGATTTCAATAATAACTGACATTTATATGGCATTACAAAGTTTGTTAAGCACTTTACTGGTGCCATCTTCTTCTTTCCCTTTATATATGGTCTTCCCTTGTTAGAATATAAGCTCCTTGAGGGCAAGGATTGTATTGTTCCCTTGCACTTGAATTCCCCAAGCTCAGCACAGTGAGCACAGAATAAACAATGTAATTTTATCTCTTTAATCTCCCTATTCACCAGCCTACATGGTCCCATCACTTGGACCTCATTAGCAACCCAGTAAAGCAGGTAGATTGGCATTATTATCCACATTTTGCATTTGAGCAAACCGAGGTTAAGAGAGGATAAGTGTCAGGAGATTTGAAGACAGATCTTCACACTCCAAATCTAGCATTCTATCCATTCCACCCTGATGCTTTTCTTAACTATGTAGTCACGTTAAATTTTGACTTTGGGATTATTTTGTTAGTGATACCCACTGCCCATGTCACAAGTCAATCTAGTTTTTTTTTCCTTTTAATACAAGGCTTTTACAGTAACAAATATACTCTTCTCCTTTTGTAAAGGAAGCAGGGGGTGAGGGACCCACCCATGATGAGTTGGTCTACAGGCAGAATTTCCTCATATTGCTTTATATTTAGTTGGCAGCAATAGGTTGATAAAGAAACACAACCAGAGCTCAAAGGAAGGGAAATACTGCCTTCACTAAGTCAGCAACAAAACATTCAGTTCTTGGCACCATGGAGTATAAAGCATATTTCACATAGCTCTGTTTTCTGGTTCTCATCACTAGCATAATGAAGAAACATTAGCATTTTAATGCTTATACTATATTGACACTTATTACATGTAGCATAAATAGGTTACACTCATCATGCCTTGCATATTTACTGTACTTTGCCCCCTCTCCTTCCTGTGCTACCCCTCCCCCCAAAGCTATTGAAACCATTTCCTTTGCAGGGAAATTAAAAGCTGAGACCTGAGGCAGAGGGTGTAAATAAAATTAGAAAGATAAATGCATTTGGTTACATTGAAAAAGTTGATAAATCAGTAGGATTTCCCAGGATGACAAAAGAACATAGCATTTTGAGAATTCAAACTTCAGAAATCCAGAAGTCATTTGGAACTAAAGAGAGATTATTTTGTGAGGGGTGAAGCTGCCTCCTTAGTCATGGCACTTCTTGCACATCATTTTCACCTGCATCTGAACAGACTGGACTTCAATCCTCAGGCTGCCTGCTTTGGGGAAAGTCTCCTGCTCCTTTAAACTACTTTCACAACACTTTCTACCAAGTATGAGTCATCACCTCTTGTTTATTTTATTTCAGCTTCTTGTTCACTAACATCTATAATTACACAGAAAGAATGACCTTTTCCTCTAAAAAAGCAAGATGAAGAACTGAAGAGAAGAGGAAAATTACTTTAAAAACAAACAGCACTAGATGACCTTCAAAAGAAATAGTGATTTTTAAAAAAGTAAATAATAACTAAAAATACATTTAGAGGAAACATGAATGTACTTCAAAGTATTTTCTTTGTGATCAGCAAAGAATAAAAGATTATATCTAAAGGGCAAAGTACAACTCTTCTCCCTTCAGTTTCAAAGAGTAAAGGGAGATAAACAAAATTGTCTTAGAGTCTTTCTCCTTTTCTTCATTACACAAAATAAATCAAATTATCCCACATTTAGAATGTCTCCTTGGTCAAGAGATTGGGTCTTAGAACCAACTGGACCTTCCTGGGCAAGGTTATCTCCAATGAATGAAAGCCCATTAAGCACCATCTTCATTCAGTAAGAAGGGTTAAGCATTTCAAGAAAACTCCTATTTCTGAAGTGGGGACAAGTAGCTTAATGGTGTTACAACACTTGATCCTTATATTTAGGCCTCAAAACAACTCTCAGGCCTACCTTCTTATCCCTTTTACATTGGGAGTAACTTTCTGGCCATCACTGCACGTATTTTTCCAATGGCAAGTATTACCATTGCTTAAATAGCTTCACAAATCCCTGACTAAATTACCTTGCTCCTTTTGACATAAGAGTCCTCTTCATAAACATCTCGGGAAAGGCCAAAATCAGAAATCTTCATTTTGCGTCCTTCAGCCACCAAGACATTTCTAGCTGCTAAATCACGGTGGACCAGCTAGAAGAAAAAAGATGACAACAACAAAAACTCCCCAATACCAAATGATCCAGGAGATGACATGTGATGAGCTGAGCAAGGCTGATTTACAAGAGGGGTAAGCACCACCCCATGACATTTAAGGATGGCTCTCTTTGTAGACCCAGCAAGGCTAGTCTGTAAGCATGGTACCTTCATTTCTGCAAGATAATGCATTCCTCGGGAAATCTGCCAGGCGAAGGAAATAAGATCTCCCATGGTCAGTGCCCTCTCATCTGGATTGTCCAAGTAGGTAGAATTCCGATTGCCATTACCACCCATGTAGCTGGGTCCCACCTTCCGACTTTCCCGGAGGAAACTCCGCAAAGAACCATACTTGGCATACTCCACAATCAGGTAGAGAGGTCCTAATGGGGGAAAGGACACAGGTTAGTTATGGAGGTGGGTGAAGTGTGAAAGAAGCTGAGCTATATACACACTCAAGGGCAAGGATGGCTCTATGTGTTGACAGACTAGAGAGTTACTCCTATAATGTGATTTGAATGTGCCAGAAATGTTCATCCTCCGATGTCTCAAATCAAATCAACAAATATAAGGTACTGTGCTAGGCAATATATGGGATGAAAGGCTTGAAAGACTTAGTTGGGTATGGAATTTCACCATTAGAAAGTCTTGTGTGTGTTGTGTGTATGTGTGTGTGTGTTGTGTGTGTGTGTGTGTGTGTGTGTGTGTGTGAGAGAGAGAGAGAGAGAGAGAGAGAGAGAGAGAGAGAGAGAGGATGAGTTAAGTATAGTGTTCTCATATACATTAAGTCCTTAAGACCTCAATATTAATTAGCATGTCAAATCACTTTTCTCCCAGATAGAAAAGAATAAAGAACAGTACCAGGGTACTGCATGGGAACAGCAAAGGACATAGAAAGGGGAAGGGGAGAGCACCAGAGGCAAACTTCACATCTACTTCATCACTTTACCTAGGCCCAATTCCAAAAGCAACTCCGAATCCAGGTTATTTCTCACAGGCCCTTGCCTTTTGAGCCATGCTACCTGAAGATATCTTGAAGGAACTGCGAGTGTTTAGGCTGGAGAAAAGAAAACTCAGAGAGGACATGACACGCTGCCTACAAGCATTTAAAGGGCTATCTTGGAGAAGAGATACTGGGCTTGGTTTGTTTCGTTGTCTGTCCCCAGAAGGGAGAAACTGGGATAGTGGAAGCAAGTTGCAGTCATATTGGTATGTGTGTGTGTGTGTGTGTGTGTGTATACACATACATATATACACATCTCTACATCTATATATATATGTATGTACAGATGTATATATTACATATATATGGGATAGGTACTGGCCCTATGATTTCATTCCCAGTGAGGAATCTCCTTCTACCAAATTGGCACCTTCTCCACACCTTATAGCTTTAGAGAGCTGTCTAGAATACTGAAAAGTCAAGCGATTTGCTCAGGGCCACTCAGATAGTACCAGATAGTGGGACTTGGACCCACATTTTCCTCATAGGCTCTGGGGCCAACTCTTTATTACAGCAAGGTGCCTCCCAGCAGAGAAAGAGCGAGACATGCTGAGGGATAGTAGAAAGACTCCTAGGAAAAGAAGAGGGACACGTCTCTGTTCTCCCAGCTACCTGTCTGCCTCCTGGTCCTGCCCATAAAGTCTACAAACACATGGCTACCTCCATTTCTTATGTTCATTCTGCCCTAATCTTGGGCAACTGAGTATCCAGAGGCAGACCTGATCACGAAGTTCACGTCTGTGTAAATGCCCAAAGGTTGGAAGAGCTGGAGCCCCAGCAGTACTGGGAGCAGCGTCCACCAGAACAGAAGCTGCTGATGGCAGCATTTGCATCAGGAGCCACGTGACACACAAGAATAACTACAGTTACCCCTTCCACATTGTGACTTTCCCCAATGCAGTTTCAATATAGCACGAGTTGGCAGACGAAATTAAATGGGAATTTGGGAGGAGTTTTGCAGAATCCACAAATGATATACAAAGGCCAGCAGACGACACTGAAAAACCTTAGAAACTCAGCAATCTATAAAATATATGTATAGTATTGTATAATAGTAACATAATTTAGCTTTTAATACCATAATAATTCAGACTTCTCCTGTATGAAGGGAGGGCCAAAAATTTTATGCAGATTTTCCAGATCACAGCAGGGGGGTGGGGTTTGCATGCCCTCACCCCTGCAATGTGGAGAAAGACTGCTTCAGGGAGTGTGACTCCTCAGGGTGGAGAGAGGTAAGTATCAGCTATGAACTCTACCAGGCACCAGCCCTTGGAGCAGATGCCATAATTATTTAATCCCTCCTTACTAGGTGAATGAAGATGACCTCAAGTGGCAGCCTAGTATAGAATTTCAGGCAGATGTCCCAGGGAGTATTGGGACAATCTCTGGGCCTCTTTCCTTAGCTGTAAGCTGAGGGGGTTGGACAAGATGACCTCTAAGGGCCTTGCCTGTTGTATGTTCTGTATTTCTATGGTTTAATGTTGAAAATCTCACAGTCTGGGAGATCCATGACTGAATGAAATGTCTCTTCTTCCTAGAGGGAAATGCACATTTTACTTGTAATTTCTTTGACTCTTGATGAACACAACCATAGTATGCTGTGACCATCAGCAAATAGTGAGTGAGGGCTCTCTGACATCCTGACAAAGGACCCTCTGACATAAGGAAAACATTATTTCCTTCAACACTTAGCTAAAGTGCCACCTTGTGTTTCCCCAATTTACCCTTTATTTGCTTTGTATATATTATGTCTATCTTTGTGTATGTATAACTTGTTTTCCCCAAAAGAATATAAGCATCTTGAAGACATGGACTATTTCATGTTTATCTATGTATTCCTAGCGCTGAATACAGCTCTGGTATACAGAAAGTACTTAATAAATGCTTGTTGACTGGTTCTAGGATACGGGTCTTTTTGTTGCTCTTCTAAGTGTGATTCCATATTACCATGTTATACTACATGAGGAGAAGCTCCCGCAGGAAGCAGTCTAAGGAAATTCATAAATGGATCTTCCTACAGCTATATAAAATATAAAACATTAGCTAAATGACACCAACTGCTATGCACCTTGCATTTTGGTTTCTGCAGGAAATAGAATTATAAATGTGTACTGACATCATACAGCCTACAGATCATAGGGTACCAGCAGGAAACCCAAAATGCAGCCAAGAGGGACTAAATAGCAGTTTGCCCATGAAAATGCAGCTGGCAGAGCTAGCTTTTTTTTGGGTGCAAAATGAAGGCTCCCAGATCCTGCACAAAAATACCCGTTACATACATGGTAAAGGGAAAGTCACCCCAAATGCTGAGTGATCAACACCTGCCAATATAAGGCAGCATAAGCCATTGAGGAATTGTGAAATAACCCCTTTGTTTCATCTGGTTGGTGAAAGGCAAGCCCATGTCAAGTATCTGTGAAAAGTAATTTAGGTCTCCATGAACCAAGTGAGTTTTAGTGATATATCTCTCTGTCCTGACAGGAAGAAAGAAAAGAAAAGGAAGAAAGATAATGAAAGAGCTGGAAAGCAGGTGAAAGGGGGAAATGAGAGGAAAAAGTAAAGGACTGGAAGGGCAGAGCAGAAATGAAGGAGGGAGACGGTTTACAAGGAAAAGAAGATGCTTAAAGCTCCCTTTCCAAGTCCTTTCAAATCTCCGGTTTCTATACAAGAGTATAATTTCTTTATTTGTTTTACTACCATGCTGCATGGGAATGCTTACCATCCTGACTGCAGGCTCCATAGAGTTTAATGACATGAGGGTGGTTGACCTGTTTTAACAGGTTAAACTCTGACAGCAAGTCTTTGAGCTCACTCGGAGAGGCATTTTCTGAAAAGCATTGTAAACAGAGCAGGTTAAAAATCAGTTTCCTCTGGTCCTTCCCCATCCAGCCCAGCCTCACTCTAGTTCACAAGCCCACGATGGGCTTGGTAGCCTACTGAGGAGTCCGTATTTGGTGGCTATCACCTTGATATTGGGAATTGCCTTAATCTCAAGATAAAAACATAAATAACAGGGAGAGTGGGTGGAGGGAGCAAAATGATACCAACACGTTATGTTAATAGTATTTTTTTTTTCATCAAAAAAAAAATTGCCAAAGGAAGCTCTTCATTCCCCACTGCATCCTGTACTGGCTGACAGGAAAACATTTAAATATGAAAAATCAACAGGCTTTTGACACCCATCTTTGAGCTTTGCATTGCCGTCATCCCAACCTACTAACATGGAAAATTCTACCATCATTTTCTATGTTGACTGCTGTTTGTCCCTCACCCATACTGTATGTTTGACAGAGATTTAGAGGCCTAGAGATTCAAAAGCAGAGAAAGAGACTTCTCCAAGGTTCTTGCTGCTTAAGGGTTTTATGGAAAAGGGAGTTTTATGTCTTGGCTCTCCATGAAAGTGAGGTATGAGCTCATTTGCCATGCGACAATTAGTTGTTTGAAAGGTAAATAGCAATAGCAATGGCAAGTAATTTTAATGCCTAAAAATGCTGGTGTTATATGTTTCACTAGCACTCTTTCCTTATAAGCATTCCTGTGACCATATCTACCACAGCACAAATTATGCTGTGAGAATGAGTTGGGATTTTTTCCTCTCCCACTCCCAAATCCATTTTTTGGCTAGTACTCTATTGCAGTCAGGTAGTGATTGAAAAAGTCAAAAACCCCAATAAACTATAAACAAATCCTGTCCTGGCACTTGCCATAACTCCTTTGAACATGACCTTATTTAAGACAAGTTTTTATGGTGCATTTATGATGGTGATTTCTCTGCGTGCCACAAAAATTCATTAACAGCTGGGCAATTACTGTAAGTGCCACACTAATTTATTAGAGCAGTACACTTAAAATCTAGCTCTCCATACACCATCCCATCTCTCCCCAGCTGGCATTAATTCTGCCCTAGCTAATTGCAATAAGAATCAAATGTTAAATCACCTGGAATAAAGGGCTGTTATTTTGTAGCCATCCACTTGGACTGACTCAGTCCTGCTTTATTGATGATGAAATCACTCAATCTCTTGTAAATGTCTAAAGGTATTTAGCAAACTCATAAAGACAATGAGCATTTCAGTTAAAATGTCATGTAAGGGTTATGTTTATGTTGGAGATAAATTCCCCTTACCATGCTACTCTAAGGTTAAGGATGCATGGGAAGTTGCTCACCAAGTACTCTTTAAACTGCTCTAATTTTAATAACGGAGCTTATTTGCTTCTCTGTAACAACCAGATGCAACCTTCAGGTGTGTTGCTTTCTAAACTTCCCTCTACCTTGATCAACTGCATTATCTGAAACAAGGAGTCCTTCAGCAAATGAAAACTGTAGAGAGAGGAGTATGATGAGTATCCTTTTTAACATTTCCCTTGGAATGAGAATTCTGGTTCTCACCACAGCCAATGTCACTTTACTTAATAACATTACTGATCAATGGAATTTCTCAGTGTGGCGGAAGTCTCCTAGTGGTTCTGTAATAAGAGTCTATCACCATCTGCTCCAAGCAGCGCTGCCTTTATAAATGAGTGGCTTTAACCAAGTATATTCCCCCTACAACAGTACAAAAATAAAACCTCTGGCCCTCTGGAAGCATCTTGGTGTTTCCTTGCATGACCTAAGCCCAGGCCAGTGGAAACTATGGCTTACATCTGAATTCCCTCTCGTCAGGAAATATTAGAATATAAATAAATGGCCTTCGGGAACTGCTGCTGGGGATCTGGCACAGAGCATCAGGGCCTGCCTCCAAACCATCCACACTTCCAAATCCTACCAGTCTGTTTATAGTCAGGGTAATCAAAATCTTCAAAAAGTGTGTGGACAGGGAAGTACCTTTTAGCATTTTCACTGCCACAGTGGTGTAGCCGGTTTTCCCTTTGAGTCGGAAAGCTGTTGCCTTGACAACCTTTCCAAACTCTCCTTCTCCTAGGGTTTTTCCAAGAACCAAATTCTTCCGAGGAAATTCCCACTTTGGATCCTCCTGAATTGGGAGAAAAGGAAAAGCAAGAGGAGAGAAGAAGGATAAGGTGATGACAGAAAATAAAAAGAAACTTATGAAATAACTGCCAACAAATTTTTTTTTTTTAAAAATATCTATGCCTGTCACTTTCCAGAGGGTTAATATATGCAGAGAGGGAATCTTTCAGTAATTTTGTAAATCACCTACCTAATAGGCATGATTCAAACTAGAATCATTAGTGTCAAGTGGAATTTGGTTAAAAGGTTGAGATACAATGTGAGGGGTACATATACCAAATCATTATAAGGGAATTTCAGCTACAAAAAGTGAAGCAAAACAAACACCTTCCTCCAGGAAGCTCCCTTGGGGCAGCATCAGGCCTGCTACATGATGAATGCATTCACAGGTTATAAAAGGTCTCTTCATCTTCACAGACCCCAAGCTGTACTATCACTCTTGTTCCTTTGCCCATAGATTTTTCTAACTTCTCCTGTAGAGATGAGGCAAAGAAATAATTTCTGTGCCAGAAGGTTTGAATAACTATAAAAATGCCCTTGGGCATCATTAACAACCAACTCTCCACTCTTTTAAGTGATACTCAGCCAACAGGCAAGTTGAAGGGGGTGTTATCATTGCATGGTTATTGGACAGAATGTACAACGCATCAATATTCCTCTTCAGACAATTCCTAGCTGTGAAAGCTCTGAGCAAGTCACTCAACTTCTATCTGCCTCTATCAATCTCATAACTCAAGTTTAAAAAAAATAAAAAAGGAAATGAAGTTACTCTGGCAGAACCTATTTGTGATGAAGTCATATTGGCACTCATTGGTTACCACTTCCCTTTCTAAATGTTCACAAACCACCTCTTAAGTAATATGTTCTGGAACTGGTCAACTGAATTCAAGTCAAACTCTCTGCATTATAGTATGAAGATACCATTCTCTTCCCTTTCTTGAAAATCTGGACAACATCTATCATTTGCAGTCCTATGGAACATCTATGAGTGTCTACCATCTTTCAAAGATCACTAAAGCAGCTCAGTAATCATATCTGCCACCTCTTTCAGGACTCATGGATGAAATTCATCAAGGCCTAGTGACTTAAACTCATTGATGGTACTTAAATGTTCTCTTACCATTTCCTCACTTTTGCAAGGTTCTGACAATTCCATTCAGTGAGCATGTATTAAACGTCTGCTATGTGCCAAGTGAGAGGAAAGTAGATAGAAAGAAGGCTAGCCTTGGAGACAGGTAAGACCTAAGGTTTAAGAACTACCTTTGATACACACTAGCTCTAGAAGCGGGGGCAGGTCATTCTGACTTAAGTCCTCAGTGTCTCAGGTAACTCTAAACTTGGAGTTACAGAAGTAGTGATCTGCATTAATGGAGGGCATTTCCATACCAGGACTTTCTCATACTGACATGGTATGTGTTATCACTAGTTTGGACATCTCTCCTTGTCAGCCTAACCAAAACCAAAAAACCCTGCCATGTATATGTATATGTATATCTATATGTATATCTATATCTATATACACATACATGCACATATATATCTACATCATACATATATACATGTACATATACATATACATCTCTGGATTATATATGATATATTTATAAAATGTAGAATATAAAAATTGTATATAACAAAATATGTAATGTGTATATACATATAGATATGCGTGCACATGCTAGGCACTGATAATTAGTTGACATTTAATATCATTTACAAACATTATTTTTATTTATTATTTATGTCCCCATGAGGTAAGTGTTATTACTTTTTCTTTTGTGCAGATGAGGAAACTCATACGGTCAGTCATACAACCGGCAAGCTTCGAAAACCAGATTAAATACGGCTTTCATTACCCCAGGTCCAACACTTGTCAAGAGCACACCACGCTTTCACTCTACTGAAAATTTTTATTCTCTTCTCAGATCTTCTAATTCTGTCCAAGAGATTATCGTTGTTGAGTTCAGCCACATAGTAGGCATTCTGTAAAGGCTTGCAAAGTTTAACTAAATATCCAACTTTTACTTTTACTCCAAGGAACAAGAATATACCTTCGCTGCTGCTGCTGGGGACAATTTTCGCTTACCCAAACACTATTTATGCATTTTCCTTTCTCATGCAACCCTGCTGCAAACTGTCTCAATTTTTTTTCTTTAAAAAAACACCAACAATAAATTAGAAGGTTTCATCATAGACAATCAGTCCTCTGTTATGAAAAAGGCCAAATCACTGCTACCACTGGATGGTGAAAGATCTACGAAACACCCAAGAATTCCAAGTAAATAAAGATTATAATGCCATAGAGACACACCACCCACCAACTATTCCAGCCCCTGCCCACAAAGAGACAGTGTTCCAGTTGGCAAGGAGTCTCCAAAGACTGACCACCCCTTTGGAATTTAACAGGAAACACATCAAGCTTGGGAGACAGCCTGTAAACAGCACCTCCACGTCAATAGGAACAATGACAAGGCTTCCAAGGACAGAGAAATGATTAGCCTGGTGGGTGAGGAACACACAAAGAATTTCCAGTAAGTCCTAAAATGGATCCCAAATTTATTCCTAATATAGTTCCCTGTCACAGCTTTTTAAGATTCTCAATTTTTCTGGTGTTGAAAAAAATCCTTACCACACATTTTAATGCCTTTTGGAACTGACACATTCTTGGGCTAAACTTTAAATTCGAAAACAACCACTACCCATTTACACAACTTGTCCAATGTGGTATCTGACTCAGGCAGTTAGCTTGCAGATCAAGGCACTGCACTTATACCAAATTTCTCCTGGGACTCAAATTTTTATTGGACAGACTCAAACCAGCCTGGAACCTAAAATGGGGGTAGCAACTAAGGCAAAGGAATTGGGAGGGCTGAAAGTGGGCAAAAGGGAAGGCCAGCGAATCTGGATCCTAGCAGACATCCAGGGCTGCATAACAAATGCAATGTCCTTGCCACACAGGACACAGCACACAGAGTTACACCTCACAATAAAACAACATTTTAACTGGTTTCTGAAGCTTCTGGGTCTGGCACTGTGGAATGAGCACCAGAAGTGGGCGCATGGCCTCAGATCCACTGATGCCTCTGCTGATGCAAGCTTACCTTCATACCTCAATGTTTTATGACATAAAATGGGCACACTCTCCACTCCACAGGGCTGTGATTTAGGCCAAAAAGACAGCTGGGAGGAGGAAGGTCTAAGCAGCTCAGAGCAGATATAAAAATAATAATCCCTTGCATTCATATAACATGTTTACTTTTTCAAAGCACTCCTACATGAAGGGGCAGCATAATGTCACATACAATAGTGTCAGACTCGGCATCAGGAATGCCTGGGTTCAAATCCTGCTTCAGATATCAACTAAACTATGTTAATATGGGCAAGCCAATTCACCTCTCTTGTCTCAGTTTCTTCACCCGTAAAATAGGTATAACAATCCATACAGTACCTGCTTCACAGGGATGCTATGAAGTTCAAATAAGATAATGTTGATAGACCACTCTGCTGACTTTAAATCATTAATACATGTCATTTATAATTGACAAGTATTCTCTCATTAGAGCTTCACAATCAATCTGTGGGGTAGATAAGGCTGGCATTATTATCTTCAGTGTACAGATCAGGAGGCTGGCAAAGAGAGAGTGTCAGCTGTGTTAATATCACACAGCTAATTAGTAGTAGAATGGGCATTAAAGACTTGGGCAAGTCATTTGGACTTGCCTGGCTTCAGTTTCTTCATCTGTCAAATATAAGGGGTTGGAGTAAAAAGGGTCTGTCTCTAAGGTCCCTCCCTTCCACCTCTAAATTTCCTGACTCCCAACCTTATGTACTTTTCATTTAAAGCTCACAGTGGTATTTCTACAAGTTTGAGTTTCTTCCATAATGGGACTGTTGTCGCTGAAACCCACCGTCCTCTGCTGGCCTCATTCTTAGCAGTGTTCCAGAGTCTGGATAAAACCCCGTATTTTAAGTGTGTCTTTGCCTACTAGTTTCACAAGCATCAGGGACTGATTTAGTATTTGTATCTTTGTGGTAAACTTGTTGTCTTTTTTTCAAAATTTCCCAAAGAAATTAACCAAAGAAAGATGGGAAGATGAGTACTGTCTGTACTATTCTGGTAATAGAAATAACACTGAGGCAGGGGTGGGGATGGCAGTGGTGACTGAGCTGCAGACTTCCTGGCAGACTGTTCTGTTAAAGCCAAAATTTGCTGTTTCCCTGGAACAGGTCTTGTTTAGCACTGTACCATGGGGTGTGGGACCAGAAGACTGTTTTTGGAAGAGCAGCTGAACCTACAATGCCACAGCACTGGGATTTTCAGTTCAGTATCCAACTCATTCTCTGAGCCTTATTCCAATAGGCAGGAAAATGATGCACATAGAGCCAGTCTTAATTTCTTGGTTGTGGTGAGGTGCAGTGGGAAGAAAACCAGACCATGAGTCAGAAGATCTGGGTTCTAACTTTGGCTCTGCCACTTGAGGCAAAATACTCCACTTCCTCATCTGCAAAAAGAAGGGGACGCAATAAATAATGTGTAAAGTCCCTTCCAGAGCTAGTGTTCAGGTGCCATTAGAGGCAATGTGGCAGAGGAGGAGTCAAAGGATGTGGGTTCAAATCCTGGCTCAGCTAGCTACTTACTGCCTAATATATCTTAGAAGGAGTTAATCATACTCTCTAGGCTTCAGTTCCCTCATCTGTAAAATGTCAGAAAAGGACTAAATTATTCTAAGGTCCCTTTGAGTTCTAAATCTATAATCTGTGAAGATCCCAAAAGACTTCATTCTGAAAACTCCCAGGACAAACACACAAGATCAGAAAAAGGACAACCTGAGAGTTGATCTGTACTCAACTGAGGAGCTTAGGGTTTTCTTTCCCTCTACTTAAGTCCCACAACCTTGACCTCCCTAGTATCAACCAAACCACAAGCACAGAAAACCTACAAAAGCCCCAGAACCCACAGATTGGACACAGTTGTCCACTCTATCCCCGCATGAAATCTTACAGGGATTTTGAAGGCATCCACTGAGACCTGGTTCTCCATGGAGTCCAGGGATGGCCGGCGAACATTGGAGGAAGAATAGCTGATGGGGTAGGCCTGAGCAGGTCTCCTGAAGGTCATCTCTGCAGAGGCAATGGGTGGCTTGTGGGAGTTCTTATGGTAGCGGCGGATGAAGTAGGAAGAGAGCAGCACAGAGAAGATGAAAGAGAACAGGATGGCAACAGCAATGACCATCCTGCAGACTTCATCACAAAGCGGTTCTGTTGGCAAAGAAGGGCAAAGAAGTTTAATGCTCCACTGCTCTGACTTTTATTCTAATTGTTGGCATATATAATATAGACCTATTAGAAGAAGCATGGCAGGAAGGCTACAGAATCTGGCTTCTGAGTTAAGATGACCGGTATTAAAGACCCACTTTTGACTCACATTGGCTGTGTGACCCTGTGGCCTCTGAGTGCCTGGAACAATCTGATATGTGTAAAATGCTATCTCAAGGTTGTTTTAATTTGCATTTCTCTAATCAATAATGATTTAGAACTTTTTTCATATGACTCAATTGTTTTGATTTGCTCCCTATATAATTTGAAGAACATGGAACATGTTACCTACAAGACTTATGGAAAGGCAAACAATTTATGAAAAAACAAGAGCTAGAGAGTTGTGTGAGGTATAAAATGGATAATTTCAATTACATTAAATTCAAAAGTTTCTGTACAAATAAAACGAATGTAGCCAAGAACAGAAGGAAAGCAAAAAATTGGGGGAAAATTGTACAGATGCTTCCTCAGATAAAGGTCTCATATCTCAAATATATAAAGAACTTTATCAAATCTACAAGAGTATAAGTCATCCCAAGATGATTAGGGAAAAAAGAAAAAAACCCTATATTTCCTAAAATATTTATAGCAATTCTGTATAAGTTCTAGGAGAATTGCCTATCTGAACTAGGAGAGGGAGTCTGCTCAATAAGAACATATTACACTGATGAAAATCACAGGTCTGTCAAAAAAAAAAAAGACACAGAAAGGTATGTAGCACCTTTAGGTTTGCAAAGTACTTTACAAGCATTATCTCATCTGATGTGCACAACAATCTTGCAAGGTTCATGCTATTATGACTCTCCCCAGTGTTTCAGATGGGGAAACCAAGACTTTTGGATGTTAAATATCCTGCCCAACATCAAACAAGTAGATTAGAGTCTGAGATAAATCAAGGAAAGAATCTGTGTGCTGTACTGGAATCAGCACAGGAAAGTTCTACCACTAACTAGTTGTGTGACTCTGGACACAGCACCCAAGCACTGAGAATTTCCATTTTCTCACATGCAAAATGAAGGATTTAGACTACCAGATCTCTAAGCTCCCTTCTAGCTCTAAAACTTCAATCCTGGCTCATTTTCTCCTCTCTCCTTTCTTCAAACATGGCTTGTATTCATTTTTCACATGACCACAGTGAATTTCTCTCTGCATGAGTGTGAGTGTGTGTGTATGTGTGTTTATACATAGTGCATGAGAAGGGTGTGTGAGTCACACACACGAACTTGGGTCATGCAGCATTTTCCACAAGGATAGGGAAAAACTTAAAGAAAAAAAAAGGTTGGATGGTGGGGGGGAAGTCAAGAAGGGTGAAGGAGAACATTCCGGAGCTGCTCAGTCAGTAATATGTAGCAGCCAGAAAAAAATGGACATTGCAGAGTGGAATTTTCCCTTCCTTCTTCCATTCTATTATTGTTATCTTCCCATGAAGGAAAACAATGTCATTTGGGTGCCATTATGGAAGCTTTGACTATAATGTCCAGTGGCCCCAAGGGCTTGGAACATCACTCTAACAACACAAGTCTAAGTCTGGCCTGATGTACAAACCAAGAGACCCGGGGGGCCTGGCTTCCATCTGTTAGAGAATAAGGGTGCAGTGTTTTATTCACAGTATTTTGAGTTCACTGCAATAACCATGGGACCCAAGTGTGGGAACCCACATGGTACCAGGAAAAATTTTTCTGTTCCAGCATGGTTTTAAACTAAACCTTCACATAAGTCCTATTTAGCCAATAATAATAATGATTAACAAATAACTTTTGGCTTGGGTGATTCCTGCTTATTTGGTCTCTCTCCTGTTAGGCCCATTTCTACCTCATGACTGTCTGCCTCTAGAGAGCGCCTCCGGAAGACAGAAAAATGAAACTCTCAGCTGCTGATTTCTTAGGAACACAGCAGCAGCCTCCTCTGTTCGGACAATTCTTCTGAGCACTCTCTGTTCAGGTCTTATTGCCCTATTCTCTTTTAGGTATTTCTCACCCACCCAAGTCTCCCTCATCCTGCAAGGCCCAAGTCTCTCACAGGACCTTCTTGTAAGGACGTCAGCTGCCCCTGATTTTTCTCGCCTCTGTCCTCTGATGGCATTTACTATCTGAACTTTAAGCTGTAACACTGGCTAGATAATGTGAAGCATGATGTAGTGGAACAAGTGCTGAACTTGGCAGTCAGGAGACCTGGGTTCAAATTCCAGCCAGCAGACATTTAAAAGCTAAACAACTATAAACAAACAGGCTGAAGGGAAGCTCTTCAAGCCTAAGCTTCTCAGGACCTAAAATATGAATATGATCACACACAAACCTACCTCACAGGGTTGTGAGGGCATTACTTTGAAAATCTTTAAGCGCTTTATGAACATGAATTTCTGAATCTTACAGTGAACGCTCAACTAAAATCATGCTGGAATGAAACTTTTTCTCAGTACTTTCTACGGCCATACGTTTCCATTGTTATTGTGATGAAGAAGTCAATAAGCATTTATTGACTACTATGTCCCAAGCCCTGATGTCATGTCATTCAGTGAACAAACATTTTCTGTCACAGACAGAGGACTGGACCCCCTCCCTGGTATCTTGGTGAACATGCGTCTAAAAAATATTTGATGGGTCACAAGTAGATTAGAAGCTGTCCAATAAGAGGCTGTCAAACTTCTCTATCTCCCCTAGAAGGAATCACAGGCCCAGGGGGAGGCAGAAAGTGCTCAGTTAAGGAAATGAGAAAGCTAGGCATCAGTATGGCTTTCATATATACAAATACATGCTGAACAGCTGATACGGAAATCATTAATACACATTTCAATCTGGTGGTTAGCCTGAAGGCTTTGTCAGCTGCCTGTAGACTGGGGCACCTAATGAGACTGAAGCTTTTTTTCCATGATATTCGTTACATTTGAGAGCTGGGTACTACTCCTAATGAAGGCAATGTCTCAATCCATGTGGTTTGTCCAGAACTAAGGAAGACCTCCAACCTTTAATAATGCCAACCTTTGTCATCATCGGGCTCACAGAAACACTTCTTTTCTTCTGGGAAGCAGTTGCAGACTCCATATCCAGCCTTGATTCCCCTCCACTCCCCTTTCTCGTGACCACCAATAACGTCTCCCCCTAATCAGACACAGATACAAGGAATGCACAGTCATGGGTGTGTAGCTCTGCTCTTCCATTTAAGACACACAGGGAGAGGTTTTATTCAACAAAATTAGGGACAGTTCACCACGTGCAAATTTGCTACTCCTATATTTATTCAGAAGCTGGGCTCCAGAGAACTCCAAAGGTATTCACTTTTAGTTTTCGTTACAACGGGAATGACTATCTCCACTTTGCAGAATAGTAAAACTGAGGCACAGAAGGAGTAAGTGACTCAAGGTCATGCAGCTGAAGCTAAAAGCAAGGGACATAATCCTAGTCTCTGGGTTCTTAGACTAATGTTGACTCCAGGAGACTCAATCTTCTGGGGGTGGGGCAGAGAGAAGCAAACCACACAAGTTACATGAGAATAAATAAGGGGCCCCTGAAAGGTAGGTAAGTATCAGATTGGCAAACATGAAAATGAGAAATGTTGGAGAAAATGTGGGAAAATTGGAACAATAATGCATTGTTGGTGGAGTTGTGAAATGATCCAATCATTTTGGAGAGCAATTTGGAACTATGCCCAAAGGGCTATAAAACTGTGCATATCCTTTGACCCAGCAATAGCACTTCTAGGGCTATATCCCGAAGAGATCATACAAATGGAAAAAGGACCCACATGTACAAAAATATTCATAGCAGCTCTTTTTGTGGTGGCAAAGAACTGGAAATTGAGAGGATGCCCATCAACTGGGGAATGGCTGAGCAAGCTGTGGTATATGAATGTAATGGAATACTACTGTGCTATAAGAAATGATGAACAGCCTGACTTCAGAAAAACCTGGAAAGACTTGTATGGTCTGATGCTGAGTGAAGTGAGCAGAACCGAGAGAACATTGTACACAATAACAGCCACATTATGAGATGACTAATACTGATAAACTTAACCCTTCCTAGCAATACAAGGATCTTAGGCATCTCCAAAGGCCTCATGATGGAAAATGCTATCCACATCCAAAGAAAGAACTATGGAAGTTGAATTGCTACTTTTTTTTCTCTTCTGTTGAGTTTTGTTTCCTCTTTCTGATGGTTCCTCCTATTTGGTTCTAATTTTTACTTAAAACATCACTAATGTGAAAGTATGTTTAATAGGAATGTATATGTGTAGCTTATATCAGATTGTGCTCTGTCTTGGGGAGGGTGGGGGGGAGAAACAGGGAGAAAAATTTTAAACTCAAAAGCATATGGAAGTGATTGTTGATAAATTAAAATAAATTAATAAAAAAATTTAAAAATATTAAAGATGAGGAAAAAAATTAGAAAATGAAAGGCAGGTTAGCATGTGAACTGTTAAGAAAAGAACATATGCATTATGGATATTTGTATACACATACCTCCCTCTCCACTTCCCTCCCCTTGCAATTAGACTAGAAGCTCTTTGGGAAAAGGACTTTTTTTTTCTATCTGCATATCCCTCATATACATATTTGCTGAATAGGATAGAATGGTAGGGCAGATGGAGATGAACCACTAAGCAAGGGTCCATGGGACCATGAAAGGTCACCAGGGCTATATTCCGGGGGGACAATGTTCTGCAAGGGTTTCATACGTATGCAATCTTGAGGGCAGATATGAAGATCTCGACTTTCCACGGCATCACAGCTGCCATCAGGACAAGTCTTGAGGCTTGGCGTGCAGGTCGAATAGTTCTTGGAAATTCCTAGAAAAAGAACAAATGGACATCTTCTATTTCATAGAATTATTCAGAATCCTCGAATCTCAAATAGCCCCATCACCTCCTTTTGGAGATAAAGAAGCAAGGTACAGAGAAGGGCAGAGACTTGCTCAAGGTCATAGAGCTAAAGAATAGAAAGACCAGGGTGAGAAATCATGTTGCTTGATGGGCAGTCTAGGGTTCTTGCTATCCCTACATGCTAATTCTTAATTCTAGCAGGGAGATTCCAATAACTTCCATTTTGCTACTAAAAGGGCCCACATTTTCTCATCCCCTAGCTCAGTCTCCCACATTTCACCTGCCAGCTCAGTTCCTTCCAAAGAATCAAAGAGAAAGGGAAAATAAAACAAAACTCTTGCCCTCTCATATTCCTTTCCTAGGCCAAGACTCCAATCAGGAGTCTTCCTGAAATGAAAAAAAAAATGTCATCCTAATCTCTTCTTATTTATAAAATTCCACCTATGTCCCAACTTCAGTCCTAGACTTCCTTGAACAAGAAGAAGACACTGAATCCTTCTAGTTCCTTCCATAATCAGAGCAATGAAGAAAAAACAATGGCTTATCTGTCCATTTCTGTTCTCTTTCTCACAGCATCTAATCCAATACTTAGCCCATACCAGGCACCCTGTAAACATTAATTGGTTTACTGACTGGATTGACTAAACAATAAAAATAATAATGATAGCTTACCTTTGCCATCTCCTTGTCTCCACTGGCATGTGCCCATCAGAGTGCCCAAGCCACCACACTCTTCACACTCTAAACGTCTCTTGTTCACAGCACATGAAATTGGACAGCCCTCCTCCTCAGGGGAAACTGGGAGAACAGCAAAAACATAAAGCTTGGTACTGATTATGGGACTTCAGTTAGCAATCTACACTTTGATCTTCAATGTCTTCCAGGCCAAGGGCCATGTCTACCAAGCTTCCAGGAGATGGTACTAATCAAGCTAAGGCAAAGAGACATTGAAACCCAGTACACCTAGATTCTAATGAAGATAATTCAGTTGAGAATGTTCAGAAAAGGTCCACTGAAGTCATCAATGAACATTTATTAAACACCTACAACAAGCCAGGCGTCTGGCCAGGTGGTAAGGATACAAAAAGAAACATGAAACAATCTCTGCGTTCAAGCATCTTACAATCTATCAGGTGAGACCACATGTACACATATAAGTGTATTTCAAATACACGCAAAATAAACATAAGATGTTTTTGCAGAGTGAGGCACTAGCAGCTGGGAAAATTATGAGGGCCTCATTAAGGAGGGAATGTCTGAGCTGAGCTTTGAAGCACATTAAAGCTTCTAAAAGGGGCACAGGTGTGAGAGGAGTGAATTCCAGGAATGGGGGCCATATTGTGAAAAATCACAGAGATGAGATGGAATACTGTGTAATGTTGCATATTAGGAGGGAAGGGAGAAGGAGAAAGCATTTAAATAGCGCCTCCTATAGATCAGACATTGTGCCAAGTGTTTCCAATAATAAATCAAAAAGGTTCCATTCATTCAATGCAAGAGTTCCACGTGACACTCTCATCTATTCTCAAATACCTTGTCCTGTTCCCTCTGGAGCCTTGCCACATGCTAACCCTGGATTGTTCCCATCTTCAGCCTCCATCATCCCTACTCCTTTACCACTGAATGGACCTAGAGGATGCCACACAACTGATTTGACTAGGCCCACCACACATTTCTGTTATTCAGCATGTATTGCATCCTCATTGCTAAAAGTCAGTCGAAGGATTGGTAAATTGGGAGAGAGCAGCACTGGTTAAGTGATGAGCTTGGAAGCCAGACTGCAATGGATGAACCTTTCTACAATCAAAGGATTTATGAATTTAGAGTCCTTCCCACACGATTCTCCATCCAACTCAAAGTGTATGTTTCACACCTTCTCTTCTGTGAAACCTCCCTCACCACCCCTCCCGTCACCTTCTCGACTGAGGACCGTACCTTATGTAAGGCCAGTAGATAAGATCTCCCTCTTCTCTTCTCCTCCCCCCTCATACTTTCTTGACTCATTATTCCCTCCTTTATTCTAGTCTCTGATGAGATGACCCTTCTACCCAACAAGGCCAACCTCTCTACTTGATCCTAGCCCCCCTTCCCATCTTCTCCAGCACAGTGACCCATCCTTCCCATCTCTAGTCTTCACTGTCTCCATATCAATTGCCTCCTTCCCTGATACCTACAAACATGCCCATTTCCTCCATTCCTCAAAAATACTCATACTGAGAACCAGGAGAACATTGTACACAGTAACAGCCACCGTGTGCAATGACCAACTTTGACAGACTTAAGCTCTTCTCAGCAATGCAACGAACTAAAACTTCTCTAAAAGTCTCATGATAGAAAACGCTAACCACATCCAGAGAAAGAACTATGGAATCTGAACGCAGATCAAAAGACGGAAGCATACTATTTTTCTTTTTTTTTTTTCCTTCTGTTTTATTTTGTTACCTCTTTCTTGTGGTTCCTCCTATTGGTTTTAATTCTTCTTTACAATATGACTAATGGGGAAATATGTTTAATTGGAATATATGTAGAACCTATTTCAGATTTCATGCCATCTTGGGGAGGGAAGAGAGTATGGAAGGGAAGAAAATTTAAAACTCAAAAGCTTATGGAAGTGAATATCGAAAACTAAAAATAAATTAATTAATTTTTAAAATACTCATACTAGATCCTTCCATTCCTACTAGTGATCTCCACTAACAACCCTCTTCTCTCTGCCAAACTGTTTAAGCAAGTCATATGCCCTCGACACTTCCACTTATTCTCTTACTCTCTTAATTTGGCTTCAACATCATCATTCAACTGATATCGCTCTCTCCAATGTTACCAATGATCTTCTAATTGCCAAATATAACAGCCTTTCTCTCAGTCCTCATCCTTCCCAACCTCCCTGCAGCATCTGGCATTGTTGACCACTCTCTTCAGTTGGACATTTTCTCCTCTCTGGGTTCCCATGATGCTGCTTGCTCCTCCTCGGTCACCTTTGCTCGATCATCATCTACATCATGACCACTAAATGTGGATGTTTTTGTCCTGAGCCCTCTTCTTTCCCTCCACATCCTCTCACTTAGGACAGCAAAGATTCAACTCTTATCTCTATACAGATGACTCCCAAATCTACATATCCAGACCTCATCTCTCTCCTGAGCTCCAGTCCTACATGGCCAATTGCTTTTTAAGCATTTTGTACTGGATGGCCTGTAAGCATCTCAAATTCAACATGGAAAACAGAACTCATTATCTTCCTCTCTCCAACCTTCTTCTGAGCTTCCCTCCCTTGAACTTTGGAACTTCCTCACCCTCACCTGACATACCCAGCAGGCTGCAAAAACTTCTTGTTGGTATCTTCAAAATATTTATTGCATATGTACCCTTCTCTTTACTCACACATTTATCATAATAGCTCATCAACCACTGCCTTAGTCTTCTAATAGATCTCTTGGACTCATGTCTCTTTCTACTCATTCCAGCCTTTACAGAATTTTCCTAAAGCACAAATTTACGTGTTGACCCTATTCCAGTGGTTCCCTGTTATCTTTGTGATCAAATACAAACTCCTATGTCTGGCATTTAAAGCCCTTCACTACCTGGCCCCTTCTCAACTTTCCACTCTACTTGTACATTATTCACTTCCACACTTCCTATTGTCTATCCATACTCTCCTACCTGCTGTTAGTCACTCAGACGCAATGCTTTATCTTCCCCCTCCTGCTCTCAAGCTTGGAATGCTCTTCTGCTACACCCTCCATGCCCTGGAATCCCTGGCTTTCTTCAAGACTTAACTCAAGTGCCAACTTCTACAAAACATCCTTTTCTGATTCCTTCTCCTGTTACTAATGTCTGTCCCTACAAGGTGACCTGTATTTGATTTTAACATGTTTAATACACACCTTTATATTTACATATCATGCCTCCCACCAGGATATATGCTCCTTAAGGACAAGAACTATATTGTTTTTTATCTTCATAACCTCAGCATTTAGCACAGTATACACTGGCACGTTATAAGAGCTTAATGAATGCTTATTAATTGATTAAGTTGACAAATGTTTTTAGTAGCCTATATATTTTGGTACCTTATGTAAAGCATTGTGGAAGATAAAAAATAAGTCTAAAAGTTGAGAAAACATTGGGTCAAAATTCACAAAATCATGAAGATTGCTATAAAGTGTGATGCTGAAGATGGAATTTATAATTTCATTAAGCAAACTACAATGCAGTTGGGGAAGTTACAAGAATATAAATAATTACAACATAATGCAGTGGGGAATAAGTGTCATGTGAATGGTACGGATGGAAGACAAGTACTTAAAAGAAAGTTGAAAGCAAAAGTCCCAGGAATGTACTTACAATTTCCTTCTACAGAGATAGTAAGCGTTGTTTTGGACTGTTTCCTACTCTGTTTGTCTGTTGCAAACACATCGTATTTCATTCCTGTGCATTCTGGCCTTTGAAGCATGGAGGTATCATTCACAAACAGATTCCCTGTGGTGCTTTCTGGGGAGGTGATGATGCTTAGAGCACTGCAGTTAACACTGAGAGATTGTAGTTTGTAGGTAATATTCACTCCGTGGAACTCCTTGCAGTTTTCAATGCAAACTTTTCCAATCTAGGCTCAAGGAATAATTTAAGAACATTACAAGTCTAGATAACATAGAGCACTAAGAAAAGTGTGCTTAACTGTCTATAATTATAACTGCTTATAATTCATAAGAATAGTAAAAACTCAATATTCAACAGGTTAAAGTACACACAGGAGATAACTTGACCCATCTAAAAATCATATTTAGAACCATAAATGGTCTCAGAGAGCCTTCTAATCTATCTTATTTAGTTTTTTAATTGGTGTATTTTGGTTTTATATTGACAGCCTTCTAACCTATCTTGTTTATTTAGATTTTTAATTGATGTATTTTTGTTTTATATTAGTTATTTCCCAATATATTCCTCCTTCCCCATACCTTGTAACACAGAAAGAAAAAAAAACCCCGTAATTAAACAAAAGTAACTACATATGAAATTCAACATTCTTCATCTACAGGCTTCCCATCCCTCTAGGGATGCTTTAATGTCTGTTCTCTGAAGCCGAGCTTGGATATTATAGTTAATCAGAGTTTGGCTGCTCTTTGGTGTTGTCTTTATTTGAATTACTATAGTCACTGTATTCATTATTTTCCTGGGTTCTGTTCCTGGTCTCTACGTCAGTTCGCATAATTCTTCCCATGCTGCTCTGAATTTCTCAAATTTGTAATTTGCTATGTTATAATAACATAACCAATGCATTCTTAGAGGGTCAGAGCTTTTTATTTTTATCAATCAAATTTAACAAATAAGCATTTCATGTTTACTGCAAGCAAGATTCTATGCTCTATCCTTGAAGGATACAATGATAGCCATGAAAACCTTATAGTACAATGGGATGGGGGGGCAGGATGTGGGTGTGAGTGATGGGAAAAGAGGGAAGACATATACAACAATGATAATAATAATAATAATGAAAACAAAAACTAGCATTCATGTAGCATTTTGCAAATACAATCTCATTTTATTCTCACAATCCTGGGAGGTAGGCGCTATTATTATTCCCATTTTATAGTTGAGGAAACGGAGGCAAACAAAGGCTAAGTAACTTGACCAGGATCATGTGGTTTATAAGTGTCTGAGGCCAGATTTGATTTCAGGGCTTCCTGACCCTAGGTCCAGTGCTCTACTCACTGAACCACATTAAACACACACACACACACACACACACACACACACACACACACACACACACACACACACTAGAAAACAAGATGTAAAAGAGGGAATTGTTGTTTGTCCTCTGTTCTTAAAGACCACCGTGACATCAGGAAGATGATGCCACGACTTGCAAGTGAATTGAATTTAAGTGAGGGAGGGCTGTGCCAGGTCACCAGCCTCACTTTCTCCTCCAGAGCCATCTGGGTCCAGCGGCAGGATTTAGATTATGACAACTGGAGTCGACTCCTGCCTCACAGAGTAGGCACTTAACAGATGCTAATGAAATAAATAAATGGATCCACCTCAGCCCCACCTTGGCAAGGCAAGCAGAGCGAGCTAGCGAGAGGATATTTACACAGGTCAATTCTGTTACTACCTCATTAAGCATCATATATTCTTTTAAAAACAAACAAACAAACAAACAAACCCAAAGCTATACACAGCAGTGTGCAGTTTCTTACAGAATTCTATTTCTTGTCTGTTTTTTAAATTTTGAAATGTTTATTTGCAATGAAAAACTAAAAAACCAAGTCTTGTGACTCTGTGATCAGATACCCTTTCAACTCTTGCAGAATTTCAAAAGCCAGCTAGAGGGATGCACATTTCTAGGCTGATGGCGATCCCATGGGTGTGCTTCAAATGGCATCTCACACATGATTTATAAGAGAGCAGCCCCTCTCAGGATCAATACCAACTTATCTCAACGGCATCTCCCTAGACTGGAAGCATCGTCCCAGGTGCAGGTGGGTGGTGACTCAGCTGATGGAATGTCCTGCTGGCTAATTAGAACTCTCACATTCTCTTTTGTTTACAACTGGTGACTAAACTGCTCAATGATCTTCCAGGGATGAGAGCTGAGATGGGCCTAGGAGTGGGCAGGCCATAAACATGATCTCTGCGACAGGAGATCTGAAGGAGAAAGGCTGAGCTAGCGTTACTGTCAAAGAGCTGCGTTGTGGGACCCTCAGATCCTCCCTCTGTTCTAATGGAATGTGTCTTCCATGTGCTCTGGGGGCTGAAAATGCAACAGTCTTCAGGAGGATAACATTCATATTTTCTCTTAGGGAAAGAAGAGATAGGTAACTAAAAAAGAGAGGATAAAGTCTTGCTCTGTTACCATCTTTGTTCTCTGTTCCCTCAACATTTGGATTCTCTCATTGTTGGAAAGAAAAGGAAGCAGTAACTTAATGCCTGATAAGGACCCCGGACCCTTTCCATCTGACTTAGAAATGTGTTGTCTCTCATCAGAACACAAGCTCCTGGAAAGCAGGAGTTATCTCATTTTTTTCTCTTTGTATCACTACTGCTTAACAAAGTGTTTTGCATACAGTACATGTCCATTTATTCATTCACTCAATAATCTAAAGAGAGTCTACAGACTGTAGTGGTTACATCTTGATAATCTGTTAAAATTATCCAGAGATATACTAAAGACCCAGATCTTAAGACCCAGACCTCTTAGGTAAGATTTGGTGAAACATTTTAGCTCTTATTAAATGCAAAAAAGCAACATAAGCAAAAAAAAAAAGACTTTGCAAATAAGCAGAATCAGGAAAACAATATTCACACTGACAACAATCTAAATGTTTGAAAGAATAAAAATCAGAGTTGTATAATATAATCAAGCTTGACCCCAAAGATGGAATTAATGAATAAAATTCTCTACTTTTTATAGAGGTAGAATACTGACTATACTGTTATACTTGGTTGATGGTTAGTTTTGATGAACTGTATGGATTTTTCCATTCTGTCTCTAACTTCCTCTCTCTGTCTGTCTCCGTCATTCTTCATTCCTCCCTACCAACTTCCCTTTTATTCTTTGCTACAGGGATGGTTCTCTGGATGGGGGAAGGAGAGGGATGTACTTGGAAATGAAGGTGGTGAAAGTTGTATGGTATAGTAGAAAGAAGGATAGGTTTGAGGGTCAGGGGACCTGGGTTCAAATCCCAGCTGTGATCTTGGGACAAAACACTTAAAATGAAGGGGCTTGACCAGATGACCCACAACATCCCTTCTAGCTCAAAATGAGCTTAAAAATATAAGCTATCAGAAAAAAGACTTCACAGAATAGATGTAGCTAAAGAGATGGTAGAGGACCTGGGCTTGAATCCTATTCCTGCTATTTATTACTACGGGCAAGAAACAGCAGTCTGGTCAAAAGTATTCAAAAAGCATCTACTATGGAACAGAGGAAAATTGCAGCAAGATTTTAGTAGAGCAGTGGAGTCAAATTGTAATAGTAATGGGCCCCGGTGTTGCATATTGTCTTAGAAAGCTACATGTTAATACTATCTATACTGTGGTGTATTTTCACTTATTTTGTTAAACATTTGCCTATTACACTTTAATCTGGTTCTGGCTGGCCCACAAGTTTGACACTTCTGGGGCAGCGGGGATTTCTGCCTGGAGAAAGGGTTTGATTTTTCTATGATGCTATGAGTTTAAGCACACTGATACTCATCCCTACCATGCTACTGGCTGGGCTGATAACATAGTCAGGGGTCTAATGAGTTTATTTTTTACACCTGCCAGAAAAATGGCAGGACAAGGATGGGGTTGACTAGAAGTAGAGGTGAAACAGCTCTCAGTGGTACAGATCAGAAGCCTCTTCCACTTCAACCCCAGCAATCTTGAAGTCCATGTGCCATTAGAACAGGCATAGCTGTATATCTCTGAAGAAGAGGCAGAAAGGGGCCAGTAAGATCCCTTTGAAGGATGGGACCTAGGAGCCTGAAAATTCTCCTGAGGTCTTCCAGGCACATTAACCATACTGTGATACGTCATTGGATCTGCGATCTCCTCCATATAAGGGCTCTTTCCACTGGGGAAGACTGCAGCCCATTTATGCCCACCCATGCTGAGTGACTCATCTCTGACCTCACGGGCATGGGGGATCCATCCAACATAGTGCGGAGGCCTTCCGCTAGGTCTCCTGAAATTGCAGAGATCAATGGAGCATGCAGCAACCCTCTGATAATTAATATCAACATAAATCAGGGAGACATACGCACACCAAAGTTATTTGCCACCATCAAGGAGAATACTGATAAACTCCAATTAGTGTGAATCATGAAGCCTGAAGTGGCTCCATGTAGTTGAATACACACTATTCGAAGCTATAATTATGTACTATATGGTAACTGGTTCTAGCCCAATAAAATGATTAATACAAATTTGAATAATGCAATCACTTTAAGGGAGTCACTAATTGGAACCTGGTTGCATGCAGCAGTAGAGTACAAATCAAAGAGAAATTATATATATATAGATGATAAGGCCCTCTGAGTGTTCTTATTTGGGAGTAACATCATACTGGTTGCATCAAGCCTTTGAATGCTGTAAGGGCCTGTTAAATGAGGTCCAACACTGCTCAAGAGTTCAGCCTAACTACCCACATAGGAACAAACATGTCAATGAAGAACTGATGTGAAGGTGGAGGGACAGCCCACAGAGCTGGTCCCATCTCTCTAGACAGATAGACAGAGAGATAGAGGGACAGGCAAACACACAGACAGAAAGACAGGCATAGTATCTCCAGAAGAATATTTATATTTTTTAAATGGGTCTTTCTTTCAGGGAGAAACTTGGAGTCACTAAAATCATTGAACAATTCTCCAAATCAAATGTATATGTGTGTGTGTGTGTATATATATATACATATATATACACACACATATAGATATGCATACATATGCACAACAGAGAATATATATTTATTTATACACACATATGTATGTGTATATATCTATACAGATAAACATCTATATAGCTCTAGCTATCTACATCTATCTATATGCATACATATATAAACATGTATGTATGAATACTTTGGATGGAAGACTAAGGCCATTTTGAATAGACTAAGGAGAGAAGACCAGATTGCACATGGGGAATTGTACCGTTTGTAGTGACTCCACGCTTCTCCCATTATTGTCTTAGAAAGCTACAAATTAACACAATCTATACTGTAGTGTATTTTAATTTATTCTGTTAAACATTTACCTATTACGTTTTAATCTGGTTCTGGCTGGCCCACAAGTTTGACACCTCTGGGGCAGCAGGGATTTCTGCCTAGAGAAAGGGTTTGATTCTATGATGCTATGAGCTTAAGTACACTGATACTCATCCCTACCCTGGGCTGATAACATAGCCAGGGGCCTAATGAGTTTATTTTTCACACCTGCCAGAAAAATGGCAGGACAAGGATGGGTTGACTAGAAGTAGAGGTGAAATAGCTCTCAGTGGTACAGATCAGAAGCCTCTTTCCACTTCAACCCCAGCAGAGAAAGGGCCATTAAAAAAGGATCCATATTCTTCTGGCGACGTTATATGGAGAAAATCATGAAACACCACAATGTCCCCAGAATTAAGGTGGTGGATCACCCAAAGGGCAATGCCAAAGGGCAATGGTGAGACTCTTGGTAGGTGTGATTAGGCCACAGCATAATGATTAGCAGTGAAGAATGGCACTGGAGACGTGGTGGCAAAGGAGATGATCGGGAGACACAAGACTCCTCACTCTCCCTCAGCACACATATCCAGTCAGTTGCCCAATCTTTTTTACCTTCACAACATCTCTTGTGTCAGACGCTGTCATACACACACACACACACACACACACACACACACACACTAACCCCACCAACTCTTGGCTGAGGCTACTAGAGTGGCCTCCTAATTGGCCTCCCTGCCTCAAGTCTCTCCCCATGCTAATAATCCATCTTCCCCATAGTCATCAAAGCTATTTTTTCTTAAGGTCAGGTCTGACTATGTCATCCCCCAATGCAATGAACTCCAGTGGCTCCCTATTGTCTCTAAGACTAAATACAAACTCGCTTTGTTTGGTTTTCAAAGCCCTTCACCATCCAACTCGTGGTTCCAGCCTCATTATACAGACATTAGCCCCCTTTCTGCCCTCAGCTAACTAGCCACTCTGGCTTTTTTGATCTACTTCACACTGTACTCTACCTCTCCTCTCTTTATCTTTCTGCTGCCCACACCCTATGCCTGGAAAACTCCTCCTCTCCAGTTCTGCCTCAGAGAAAGCTTTATTCCCTTCAAAATCCAGCCCAAGGACTATCTTCAACATAAAGCCTTCCTGATTCCGACTTCTAGTGACCCTCCCTTCCTTAAACTGCCTTGTTGTAATGGCAGTTTAGTGGACAGAGTGCTGGAAACTCCAGCCTCAACATACTTAACCAGCTGTGTGACCCTGGATAAGTCAAATGACCTCTGTCTACCTCATCAAAAAATGAGGATAATAACACGTACCTCCTAGAACTGTTGTGAGGACAAATGAAATAATATTTGTAATGCACTTTGCATTTTAAATGCTAGCTATTTGTACTTATTTTGTATATAACATGTAATTACATATGCATATAATTATACGTGAGTGTATGTACATGTGTAGTACTCTGACAGACTGAAAACTCCTTAGGTACAAGAATTACTAATTTTTGTTTTTGTGTCTTCAGCACCTGGCATGATGTCTAGCACATCAGAGGCCGCTGGTGGTGTAGTGGATACAGCACTGTACCTGGGGTCAGGGAAGAACACAATTCCAATCCAGCTTCAAACACTTAGACTCTGAGCAAGTCCCTTAAATTCTGTTTGCCTCAGTTTCCCCAACTGTAAAAAAGGGTCAATAACAGCACATCATTGCAAGGGTGTTATGAGGATCAAATGAGAATGATCTCATTTGTAAAAGTGCTTAGCACAGTGCCTGGCACGTGGTAGCTGCTATGTAAATGCTTATTCCCTTCCCGTCCCTTAAGCACCTAATGAATGCCAACAGAATGACTGGAAAAATAAGATGCAGAAGTCATGTAGCAAGTAGGAGACATAACCAACTGACATACTGATAGGTGACATCGCTATGTTATTGTTATTGTTCAGTCAGGCCTGATTCTTTGTGACCCCACGGAGGGTTTTCTTGGCAAAGATACTAGAGTGGTTCACCATTTCCTTCTCCAGCTCATTTTACAGATGAGAAAATTGAGACAAACAAGGTTAAGTGACCTGCCCAAGGCCACCGAGCTAATAAGTGTCTGAGGCCAGATTTCAACTCATGAAGACAAGTCAAGTCTTTCTGATTCCAAGCCTGCGTTCTGTACACTGCCCCACCTAGCTGCTATACAGCTTTCCATATAAGGATCACTGGATCACTGATCTAGAGCTGAAAGGATTTTCACAAGTCACCTTGTTCAACCTCTTCACAAGGAGGGAAACTGAAGCCCAGAGAAATAAAATGACTTGCCCAAGATCACACAGGTAGTTTGGTGGCATGAGCTGTGGTTCTCTAACTTCTCAGCTCGCGTTCTTTCCACTGTAGCACAGGCAAATGCCTTCATCACAACCTTATGAGGAGCTGTAAAGAGCACCCTGATTTTTATAGATGAGGAAACAGAAGCTTAGAGGTTAAATGACTTGTCTGAGGTCCCAGAACTAACCAAGTACCAGAGCCAGCCCTCAAACCTGATTCCAACACTCTGGTTCACCACTGGAATCTCCCCCTTCACTCCACCCCCTCTGTAATAAACACTTGTTTCAATTACTTTCTGGTGCCAGTAGGCAAACATTACCTGCAATTCCCTAACAAAGTCAATAGCAATGTGCCCTTAGCTAATGTCAACCCTTCCTGGGCATTACCAAGAGACATTATAAATGGGCTCAAGTAGGATCAAACTAGAACAAAGGGGGAAATAGGAAATAGACTGGGTCAGAGGAATATAGGTGAGGATTAGGAAGCAGAAGTAGGGAACAATAGTGTTCATGAGCATATTAAAACAAACACTATCTCACATTCACATGGTGCATTAGAACTTACGATGTGTTTTGCTCAGAACTACACCACAAGTCATATTGTGCAAATATTCATTATTACATATTCCACTTTAAGAGATAAAACTATAAATCATCAAGAAACGAAAAGGCCTGGTGGGCCAGGTTCACAGCTAACAAATGTTCAAACCCAAGCTCTATCAGAGCCAGGATTCCAAACCAGGTTTCGCTCAGGGCTTTTCCTGCTACCCCATATTGGTCTCCTGAAAGTGCAAGAACCTTTCAGCAAGAGACCATCGTCTTCTTCTAGAAAAGGTGGGAGAGGTTACTCTGGTTAGAACACAATCAATATTCCTCATTATGCCAATTTATATTGATCTTTCCTTTTCCGAGGTCCCAGAGTATTTCAACTCCTGGGCCAGACGTTTGTAGGCTTATGAGCCATCTTAGATTACCCTCTAATTGGTTCATGCATACAGCCTTCTCTTTCCCATCAAGACTGCAAATTTCTTGAGAGAAGGGATTACCTCCTCTACTGTATCCCTCATGGTAACAAGCATGCCAGAAATCCTCCAAATGAGACACAGTGAATTCTTCCAGAATGCGTCAATTACCAAGGACTCCATTTATCTTATGGCAGATGGAGAAGCTCACCTGGGCTATCTTCCTATTTCCCTCTGCCCAGGTGGTCCAGGTTCCTTCTTTCCCCATGAGAAATAGCTCATGCATCACTCACCTGTGCATATCGGTGAGCGTTTCGATTTACTGAGAAGGAGTAGGAGATGTTTGGGAACTGTATGCTGACAGGCAGGATGGTCACATTAAAATAGAGCTGTAGTACCCCTCCAGGACCCTGGAAGTCAGTGTCATTCACCAGGACTCCCAACTGGAAAGAATGGTTCTCTGTGATAGGGACACTTTGGTTGAGTACCAGTTCTGTAAAAATAAAGGGACTCCATCAACATTCTTATTGTCAATCCACAAATGAGTTATCTCACTTTAAAGAGAATATTGATGATAAATAAGGCTAATATTTATATAGTTCATTAAGATTTTTGAACTGCCTTGCATTCATTATCTTATCTTATCCTCACAACACCTCAGAGGTTATTAGAGATGCCCCATCCTCATTATACTGATGAAGAAACTGAGGTGCCGAGAGGTTGAGTTATTTATCCACAGTCCAACAGTTAGTAAATGTCAGAGGTGAGGTTAAAACACATATCTCTCTTGAATCGAAGCCCAACACTCATTCTGCTATACTACATTGCTACAAAGATTCTGGGAGAAGAGCAATCAGGATTGTGAAAAGCCTTGAGATCATGCCTTAGGACACTGTTGTAGGAACCAGGAATGTTTAGCTTAGAGAACAGAAGACTATAGAGGGACATGACAGCTATTTTCAAGTATTTGAAGGCTATCATATGGAAAAAGAAATTATTTTCTTCTTGACTCCACAGAGTAGTGATGGGTAGAAGGTGCAAAGAGCCAGACTTTGGCCTAATGTAAGAAGAAACTTCTTGATCATTAGAACTCCCAACAGGAATGGGCTGCTTCAGGAGGTAATGGGTTTCCCTCTTACCTGGGATCTTTATGCAAAGGCTGGATGACATCCTGTAAGGTGTGTTGTGGAGGGCACCGTTGTTCAAAATAAAGTTAGAATAGATAGCCTCACTGGCTGTGGTATGCTGGTAAATGTTTAAAAACAAAAACAAAACCAGCTCTTTAAAAAAGGAAAAGAAAAGACTATTGTGCCCAAGACACACCCTTTTAGGCGTGATCAGTATTATTACCATTTTCTCCATCACTTTCTTAAGAATAGATGATCAACCAAACAATAAATGAAGCCCTGATTTGTAGAATCTGCCGATTTTCGAGGCGTAAATGCTCACACTGACAATTTAGCAACTGGCTCTAACAAAGCAGTAGGGGCTGACTCCAGCCCTCCCTTGCTCCCAGATCTCATTCTGCAAGCCAAAGTCACCCTCTCTACAGCTTCCACCTCCTTCTCCTTCCCTCCAGAGAATGTTAAGACAAATCTGATCCCTGTTCTACATGACACTCTTTTGGATACTTGAAGAAAATTCTCATGTCCCTACATTCCCTTCAAATCTTCTGTTTTCCAACATCCCAGATTCCTTCAAATGTCCTTTCTCTGCCATGGTGTTCAGGACCCTCAAGATCTCAGTTGCTCTTCTAATAGCATCAGCCCAACCACCTTCATTAATGTTGATGTTAATTGACTTTTTTTCTCCCAAAAATCAAAACCACCTTCAGAACATGGTGATTTGCCACCACTGAAGAAAATACTCCAAACAATGTTTTATAATCTCTGAAGTCAATTAAAAAAAAAAAGAATGGCAGCATCATTGGAATGAGTGACTTGCCCTAGCCTCCACCACCACCACCCCCCCCGACTCCTCCAGGGGGCTACTTTAAACTTGATCAAACTCATTTTTAGTTCTGGTATTTTTTAAAAAAACAAGCTCATGACTTATAGTCCCATCTTCTAAATTCAGTCTATGCACCAAAGCAGTGTAGGGCACTGAACATATATATATTTTTAAACCTCTTTAAATGAGCTCATCTGTTAGAATCTGCTAGAGTTCATTTTCTTTTCATTTATCTGTTCTAAGGCATCAATTGGTCAGCCAAGTAAGTGGCCTAGCCTGGAAAGGTGCAGACAGTGATGAGGTCCCAAATGCTCCCACCTCCCTCTTTTTCCTATCTTCACCCCCCTAAGCCCCCTTACTGTAGTCGTGCATCATTGCCCGCACACGGCTTCCATTAGAGTTGTAAGAGGTCTCATTTGGTAAGTGCTCCACCCGGAAGAACTTAATGACCCGAGGGTCACTGGTTAGCATGGTGTGTATGTACTTTCTTGGGATGTCCCCAGAAGATGGTACCACATCTGCATCAAAGACCTGTAGCACTGCCAATACTGTACCCTATGAGGAAGCACAAGACAAGAGTGGGTAGGGAGGAGAGGGGCAGGGATTGGGAGAGACAGGGGGACTCTCTGACCTACTTTCATACAGTCAAAACCAGGGTCTCCCACCCACCACTAGGAATGGCCCTGGCATAAAGCTAGGATCATGAAGAAATGGTTATCTCCTCTCCCTGCTTCTTTTCATGGGCTCTTCTTTGCTCTCTCACTTCACATTTGGACTTACCTACCAGTTCTGTCACTAATTAGCTACATGACCTTGGGGACCCAGTTGCTTTACCCCTCAGGGTCTCAAGTTTCCTTCTCACTAAAAGGAGTGCCTTCCTATAGAACACCTCAAAGATCCTTTCTAGATCTTAAAATATATGAATCCTTTTCACATATGGCTTAGAGAACTCTAATCATGGGTGCTAGAATTCATTTTCCCCCATAGAGGGCAGCAATTTTCCAAAATTCAGAGTCAGCTCCCCAGAAGCAACAGCTCTAATGGCCAATTACTTAAAAGAATAATGAAACAGTTGGGCTTGTAGCTCCTTGTATAATTCTATGAGAATTCCTAGGGAGCAGAAATAGGGGATGTGGGAAAATTTATCAGAAGGGAGTGGTTCCCTACTACATTTTAAATAATATAAACTCTTGTTTTAGCTTTTAAGGCTCCACACAACCTGGCTCCAACCCATCTTTTAGTCTCATTGAACATCTGTGTCTCTTTTCTTACACACACACAAACATACACACATACACACTTCTCTCTCTCTCTCTCTCTCTCTCTCTCTCTCTCTCTCTCTCTCTCTCTCTCTCTCTCTCTCTCCTCCCCCTCCACTCTCCCCCCCCTCCACTCTCTCTCTCCCCCCCCCCACTCTCTCTCTGGTCTCCAGGCTTTTATTCTTGCAGTTCCTCATGTCTAGAATTCACTACCTCCCTGCCTCTACCTCTTAAATTCAGCTCAGGCACTATCTTGTGCAAGAAGCCTTTCCTGATCCCCCAACTGCTAAGTGCCCTCCCTCCACTACCTTGCATTATATTTGTATCACTTCATGTTTATGCTCTAAGTATTTTTACGTGTATGTGCTGTCTCTCCCACTAGAAGGTAACTTCCCTGTAAGTAAGGAGAGCACTTGTATCCCTGGCACTTAGAAGAGTGAATACGTAGCAATTACTATGCTAGGCCACATACATGGTGGGAACTTAATAAATACTTGATTTGCATTGCAAAAAGGCAATAATATTAGCCAACTTCTGGGCTCTTTAGGTTACTTGTTGAAAAAACAACAACACAAAAACAGCGGGCACATCATAATCTACCCTCACGGTTCCCAGGTTCCATAATCTGAATTTTAGGCAGGGAGCCTCCCCACCCCCCACCTCCACCAAAAAAAAAAACCAGTGCCTCCTGCTGGCCACTGCTAGAAATAAAGGTCATTGCAGGATCAAGGGATCTAGACATAGGAGGGATTTCAGAAACCATTTAGTCCAACACCTTTATTTTTCCAGTGAGGGAACTGAGGCCTAGAGAGTTTAAGGAACTTGTGGAAGTCTGCACAAGTATTAAGTGGGGAACCCTGGGGCTGAACCACACCACCTTGCCAATAGGGAACATGGCTTCTCCTCAAAGGACTCCTAGGAAACCGGCTATAGCAGGAGTGGGGAATCTGTGGCCTCAAGGCCACATGTGGTCCTCTAAGTCACAGGTTCCCCACCCCTGGGCTACGGCTTCTGGAATCATTTGAAAACATATCATTGTTGCAGTTGGCTTCTCAGCCAGAGGGAAAAGAATTTGGGGACTTAAGTATCCAGAGTTCCCTAGAAAAAGACTGAAAAAGTTGGCAACCTGTAAAACTTTGGAATGGCCGGTCCCCATTTATTACCTGCTACAGACTTTCCAATTCTTAAAAATTCTCCTTACAAAATACAAATCTCTGCAAAGGAAGAGTCATACCTTAATTAGGTGACAACTAAACAACCAGTTAATAACTCAGCAACTAGTTACGAACTTTAAAATGGGACACAGGATAGCTGTATGGGGAGAGAGACAACATGCCTAGGGAGGTGGACAAGTATCCCATAATTATAAAATCATAGATTTCAAGCACGAAGAGAACTCAGACGAGTCCAACCTGGTCATTTTACAGAGGGGCAAGAGAGACACAGAGAAGTCACGTGACTTGCCAATGGTCACTCAGGTAGTTAAAGTGCTGGAGGCAAGACCTAAATTGCTCTTTCAGACTCCAAGTCCAGTGTTCTATCCATTATGCCACCTAGTGACCACAAATGGTATAAAACCAATTTTGCTGATTTCAAATTTTTGCCCTTATCTTGTGGGTCATGTTCTTGACCTCAGCCACCAATGACAGAACTACTTCAGATATAGGGGAGGGGTGGTATCTTGTCAAGGAAGACAAGAGCTGGTCTGATAGATCCCTGTCCTACTACACAAATTTATTTAAAACTATTAAAAGTTCATGGTCTATTAGATCTTTTTGCTTCTCAGGAAGTCTGTTTAGTCATTTCAGTCATGACCCTATTTGGGTTTTTCTTGGCAAAGATACTGGGGTGGTTTGCCATTTCCTCCTCCAGATCATTTTATAGATGAGGAAACTGAGGCAAATAGGGCTAAGTGACTCACCCAGAGAATAAATGTCCAAGGCCAGAATTGAACTCATTAAAAGGAGTTTTCCCCGAGTACCACCTAGCTGTCCTCTGAGTAGGCAGCCCTTAGTTTTAGAAAAGTGCTACCCCATCCCTTTTCCTCTTATTTCTCTTCTTAATATCAAGTAGAGACTCAGCTCCAAAGTATAGCTTGGAGTAAGCTTCAAACAAGGAAGAACTAGGGAAAACAGAGAATTCTGTGCCATGACAGGGGCCAAACACAAAATCACTCTGAATTGTATCTACAGAGTCAGTTCTGAAGCAACCATGCTATGATGAAGGCAAGAAAAGGCACAGCAAACTCCAACCAACAGAGAGTAAAGCCCTTATATAATTTTGCTTTAAGTTTGGAATGTGGCCAGAGGGAAGCACGTTTGTGCACAGGTGCACACACACAGAGGTCCCATGTACCTTCGTCCATTTATCCATGCCTGTTTTGTCCTTCTCTGGTTTAGAATTCAACCAAATGGCATGGTAGGCATAGTAGAAAGAGAATCAAGCAAGGTCTTTCTGGAAAACCCACTGGAGTATGACTTAGAAAAGACTGTCATTACCATAAATCATCAGTTCATAGGTTTGGAAGTGGAAGGAATTTTAGAGGCCACTAAATCCACCTCTCATTTTACAGATGAGGAAACTGAGGCACAGAAAGCTTAAGTTATTTACCCAGATTCATATCGCTTAGTAATTGACTGAGGCAGACAGGAATAGAATTCAGGTCTTCCTGACTTCAAATCCAGCACTCTCTGCCCCAACTATCTCACTTTCTTCCTTGGTCTAAGCTCTAAGAATGCTCTCTGACACCCTTTCCAAAATCCCTGACAAACCCCTCATACCTCTTTCCGTTTGTATTCCACAACTGCATTGGCTGTGTTGATGCCGGTGGGGAAATTAGGAGGTGAATCGTCCTCATCATATACAGTCACAGGAAAGGGTACCATCACATTATCTTCTCGCAAACCTTCCCGAACTGTGCACTTGGCAACCAACTCATACTTTTCCTTTTGTTCCCGGTCCAGAGAGTGCCTCATGCTGACCTCCATGGTGTCCTTATCAGAATGGAAGGGAAGGTCTTCATCTAATTACCAAAACAAAGACAGGAATAACAATGTTAGAACAAAATTTTGCAAGGGAGGAGGATGGCGCCCCACCCAGACCACCAGATGCAGACACTCCCTTGTCATGCATCTGATTGGGCTGGCAGGGGGAGGGGAGAATGAGAGAGTAACGTTGGGGACTGAAGACACTAGCTAGCTAGCTAACATGGCTCATTCCTGTACTCTCACTGGAAGGAGCAGGAATTTTGTATAACAATACCACCTGCATGAAGGACACTCTAATTCTGGCTGCCAATCCTCACAAAGGAGGTACTACAGGAAATAAAGTCTAGGAAAGGATAACTAAAATATCCAAGATGAAGAAAGACGAAACACATGAAGAAAGACTAAAAATCAAATGAAGATAAAGTCATCTAGCATGCAGATGACCTTATTCATAGTTTCAACAATGCTAAAACTAATACAAATAACTGACAAATAGAGTTGTAAGCCTTGCAAAGCATTTTACACAAGTAGCCTATGAGATTATATTCTCCCCTTTTAATAGATGACAAAACTGAGGCTCAGTGACTTATCCATATCTGTACAGTCAATATGGGGAGATCAAATGTGAACCCAAGTCTTCCGGACTCCAAGTGTGACACTATATACTATGTACCAAGCTGCCTCTATGGAGACACTCTAACTCTAAAACCCCAATAAAAACTCATCACTTTCCTCTTAAATCCCACCCATGCTCCTGATTCCTTTTCCGATTATCTAATAAGATAGAAATATCATCTTTGCCTCTTTCTTCTTCTTTCCAGATAACTTCTTGGCTTTTGTCAAGTTCTACTGAGTCTGTCACAGCTTCGTCTTTCACGTCTATCTCCTGCAATTTCACTCCATGGTCACGACCACTGTTCAAACTCTCGTCCTTTTCACCAATACTGTCTGTTCAGCCATTTCAGTCATGTCCAACTCTTTGGGACTCCATTTGAGGTTTTCTTGCCAAAGATACTGGAGTGGTTTGCTATCTCCTTCTCCAGCTCATTTTACAGATGAGGAAACGGAGGCAAACAGGGTTAAGTGACTTGCCCAGGGTCTCACTGCTAGTAAGTGTCTGAGGCCATATTTGAACTCAAGAAGGGTCACTGTCCTGATTCCAAGTCCAGTGCTCTATCTATGCACTACCTAAGTGCTCCTCATGGATACTGTAGCAGCCTACTAACTGGTCGCCTGACTCATCTTGCCCTTTTTCAATTAATCTTTCACCTTATTTTGAAAAGCAATAGATACATAATGTATACATACATCAGATGGACATATAACATGCATTAAATACGAGTATACATACATACATGTGTGCATGTATAACACATATATAACACACATGCGTATATATTATGTGTTTATATATTATATATATGGGTTTGTGCGTGTATTATATACACGTACGTATGTATGTATGTATATATGTATAAAATGTACAGGTATGATCCCATTACTTCTTTATTCCCAAACTGCCTGTCCAGGGAAGACTTTATCATCTTGTCCCAACTCCTCAGCCTAGAATTCAGCCCTCTGACACTCTGGCCTTAATGGACTTTTTCCCACCTTTGTTTTATTCCTCCCTTTCACTCTGCTCCAGCTAAATTGAATTATTTAACTGGCAGATCTCATCCCATTCTCTCTAGCCTCTATTCATCTTCATGTGCTATTTTCTATGCAAGGAACAGCCTCACTCCACCCCTCAGTCTTTTCAAATCGTTTTCTTTCCAAGCTTAGTCGGGGTGCTACCTGTGCCATGAAGCTTTTCTGACTCCCCTAAATAGAAGGGGTTCTTCTCCTTGAATCTCTCGTGTTTCTCTGATTCCTCCTATGCATTTAACCATATTCCAATGTGTACTTTCATTGTTTGGACCTACCTTATTGAGCCAACGAATGAAGGAATGTACAAAGCACCAGTCCTTAGTACAGCGCCTGGCACATAACAGGTGCTTACTAAATGTTTACTGACTGATTGACTTTACCCAATCTTAAATCACTAAATGGGTGCTAGCTCAGACAAACTGAGACCTGGGAAAGACCAAGGAATACAAATTTATTGAAACAGAGCTCTGGAAACCAGGCATTGATAAAGCCATTCTGATCCATGTGGAGCTACTTGACTATGCCTTAAGCTCAAACCACTCTGGCTATCACTTATTGGCCAATAACAGTCCCCAACCCAAGCCTCAGATGGTCACTGTTTGGGTTTTGCTGGCTCAGAGTGAGTGAAAATAGCAATTGTCTCTATTTTGGCCAGAAACCCTGTGAGTCTTCCCTTCTCAGACTGATTTTTTAACAAGGTAAAAGAGGCCATTCTTTGCCTCATTTTTTTTTACCTAGCCTTAAGTCACTGAATGGATGGTGCCTCAGACAAACTGAGACCTGGGAAAGGCGTTCACTTAAAAAGGCCAAGGTCTCCCATGGCATCTCGGGCCATCTCTAGTCATCCTAACCTATGTCTTGCTGCTGGACCCAGATATCTCTGTAGGAGACAGTGAGGCTGGTGACTTTCCACAGCTCTGTCTCACTTAACTCCAGTTCAGCTGCAAGTCAAGACATTACCTTCCTGATATAACTGGACAAACTACAAAACCAAATGCTGAGAATACAAAGAGAAAACACAGTCCCTGCTCTCAAGGAGCTTACATACATCTTAACGGGGGAAGAAAGCATAAATGGGGGTTCATCTTTGGGGGACAGTCGAGTGGTCCTTGGGGTACAGTGTCAAAGCACATGGTAATGGATTTTTGTTTCTGTCATTTTCATGGGAGAAAAAAACCTTTTCTGTTTCTGGTACAGAATCCTTTGCCACGGCCAAGGACTTTCATACCAAGGAATTTCTCTTCTGTGTAATAGATCTTACTAGAGTATAATATCCATGAAGTACTATATTATTTAAAAAATTCTCTATATTCTCAGCACAACTTGCACAGGGTAGGTACTGAGTGTTGAACTCAAGGAACTTATGAAATGTATTATTCTGAGGGGCTATACAGCCTGAGTATATAAACTGGCTTATTATTATTCTTACTAAAAATATTATTAATGATAGCTGACATTTATATGCTATTTATTTATATTAGAGAAGCCAGGTGGTGCAGTGGATAGCACCAAGCCTGGAGTTAGGAAAACTTGAGTTCAAATCCAGCCCCAGACCCTGTTTGCCTCAGTCTCCTCATCTGTAAAACGAGAGGGAGAAGGAAATGACAAACCACTACAGTATCTTTGCCAATAAAACAAAACAAAAAAAAAGGGTCATGAAGATTTGGACACGACTTAAAAATGACCAAACAACAACAACGTATTTATATAGTGCTTTAAGGTTTGCCAGACACTTCGCATGTTAGCTTATTTGATCCTTTCATCATTTCAGTGATGCAGATGATCTTATCATTCCCATTTTAGAGATGAGGAAACTGATGTGAGAAATTCAGTGACTTGTCCAGTCACATAGCTAGTTAATGACTTAAGAAGGATTCAAACGCAGGTCTTTCTGACTGTCCAGCACTCTGGCCATCTAGGCTTCAGATAAACTTATGGATCACAGATTTACAGAGGGGTGATTAAGCAAAGCTAAGAACACTGGGATGATGTTCTTAACCATGAGGCTGACAGCAGGGTAGACAATAAGAGATGATATACGTCCTGAGTTAGCTGGACCATTGGTGAGACAAGGAGAAGAGGGTCTGATGTTCTTATGTAAATATAATAAGTAGAATACCACTCTTGTAGAATATATGCTCCTTGAGAGTAGGAAGAGAATTTCTGTTTTGTCTTTGTATCCACAGCTGGCACAATGGATGGAGCTCTGGACCTTGAATCAGAAAGATCCAAGTTCAAATCTGCCCTCAGACACTTATTAGGCAGGTGACTCTGGACAAGTCACTTAACTTTTCTCAGCCTCAGGTTCACTAGCTCTAAAATGGGAATAATAATAATAGCATCTACCTCCCAGGGTTGTTATAAAGATGAAATAAAAAAACACATTTATAAAGCACTTTACAAACCTTAACATGCTATACAAATGCCGGCTACTATTATTTTTATTACTAATGTTGCTATTATTATTATTATCATTATTACCTTGCATATAGTAAATGCTTTCTAGATTAGGTACCATTAGCAACCACCATCAACAGGACAAGACAGTAGAGTATAAAGAAAACTGGATTTCAAGTCCTAGGATTTGGGGTTGAATCCCCATCCTGCCATTTCCTACTTGTGTGAAGCAGGGTCTGCATCTCTCTGGCTCTAGTTTCATCACATGTCAAATGAAGGGATCAGAGAAGATGATCTCCAAGCTCTTTCCAGCTCTAAATCCTCTGACCCCAATAGCCCTGTAATATACCTATGCCTACAGCACTTGAAGGTTTACAAGAATTATCCTCACGATATCGATGGGAAGTAAGTAGCGCAGGTACTATCCCCATTTTCATGATCACAACTGAAGCTCAGAAAGGTGAGCTGACCTGTCCAGTGTCACTCATTAGAAAGTATCATAGCCAGAATATGGATCTGGGTCTCCCACTTCGAAGGTCAGCGCTCCCTGCAAGCTAAATGTGGTTAAGCATTCTCTGAAAAGTCTCTATCCTCTTAAGAAGAGGGTGAGGAGAAGGCATCCAGGAGATACCATCCTTACCTCTAAGCAGCTGGTAGGAAATGCTGATATTTGGGCACAGACGCTGCACAGGAAGGAGACGGAACTGGTGGAAAGTGCCCGGTGGTTTATTCTCCCTGATGCGGAATGAGAGGCCCGTCTCCAGGAAGCAGAACTCCCTGGGCTTCAGGGAGCTGCAGGCTGGCATGGTGGTGTTGATGATGGACAGCATCACTTTGGCACAGCTTGGCCAGTGACAATCACTTTCCCGGAATGGTCTGGGTGAGAGGAAAACCTGAAGGTAGATGGTGAGCAAGGGAAATCCTCCACCTGCAGAGAGAAGAGATGAGACCCAGGTATACCTTATAAAGTCAGTAAGACAAAGTTTCAAAATAAAGAAGCAGTAACAGCAAATGGACTTAGTTTGTAGTGGAAAAAACAGGAAGACTCCTCTTCCTGAGTTCAAATCTTGCCTCAGACACTTACTAGTTGTGTGACCCTGGGCAAGTCACTTAATCCTGTTTGCCTCAGTTGCCTCATCTGTAAAATGAGCTAAAGAAGGAAGCGGCAAAACCACTCCAGTAACTTTGCCAAGAAAACCCCAAATGGAGTCATAAAGAGTTGGACATGATTGAAACAAGTGAACAATAGCAAAGACGCATCTTCCAGAGGGTGAGGGAAGGAAAGGCAGCAAGGTCTAAGGGCAAAAGCACTGGCCTAATGGGTAGGGGCTCTGGGGTCTAGCCCTGGTCCTCTACCAGAACTTACTGTTTGGCCTTGGGAACTTTTTTAGCCTTCCTGGGCATCTTTGCTCACCCAGAAAATGGAGATAATAAGCCCTGCTCTCCCTACCTCTTGGGGCTATTATAGTGAGGGCATAATGACCCTGAAAGCCCCTTTAAAAGAATGTCCTACAAATTAAGGTATTACTATAAATTGAGGGCACTTTCATCATAGTTTTCAGAACATTCTCTCTTTCATCATCTGACAAAACTGAAAAGCTTACTTCAACTGAAGGCCAACCTTTGGCAATCTAGCCAGCTTCTGACAGAGCTCAATTACATTTTTAAATCTCTCTTAGGAATAGTTTGCATGTTCCCTGATTGTGCCAGAAGCTAAAGGACTTTCAAAAATGAAAAAAAAAAAACCTAAAATACAAAATGGCAGGAAATCCACGGCCACACACAGTAAATTCAGTTTCCTCAACCCTGCGGAGATAGGAGGTGCCACAGTTTTCTCAGCTGTGCAAATACTAACTGTGAGGATCCAGATGATATGAGGATGAAAAGAGCAAAGTCCAAACTTGTCTCTCCTCCTTTAATCTGCTTCCCTATTTAGGAGTCCCACTGGTGCGGCATAAGTGGCATTCAGCACTTGCTATCATTACACCTGGGCAGATTCACACCTAGAGACAGGGGAGCTTGGCATTTCATGAGTAGCCAAGGGAGTGGGCTTGGAGGCCTTGTCTCTCCTCTGACTCTTTATCCATTGGCAAATGAAATGCATGGATTCATATCTGTTTAAAGGGCAATATCCACAGGGCTGCCTAAAATTGTTGTTCCAGGGGAACAAAAACTTTCTTCTGCATAGCCCAAGGAACTTCATATCCAATTCTTATCCATTCTTCAAGGACAATTCAAGACCTGCCTCCACCCTGAACCTTCCAGCCAGTCTCTGAATTTCTACAAAGCTTATGGCCAGTCATGGCCCTTAATCAAGTTCCACCAAATATACTATGTGTAATCCCTGGTCTCCTCCACTGTGAGGCAGGCTCCAGAGGGCATCACTAATCGCAGACTTTTCTTTAACCTTCCCCAATACCTAGCACAATGTGGAGCTCACAGAGGGGGCCTATGTGATTTGTGGGTAACTTGCATACATGTACGTATACATGGTGTATCTATTTATGAAGCCCATATCCTGCAACTAATATATGCGTATATCTAGCTATATCTCTGTCTCACCTATCTACTTACCTCTCTATATATACATTCTCTGTACATCCATCACTATTTCTATCTACCTGTCTGTCCATCCATCTGCCTCTATCTATCTATCTATCTATCTATCCATCTATCTCCAGCCATCTATCATCTTTCCATCCATCCATCCATCCATCCATCCATCCATCCACCCCAATTGTTTCTGTTCTTTTTTTCTATTAGAATGTAAGCTCGTCCAAAGCAGAGACTGATTCACTTTTGTCTTTGTACCTCCAGCACACAGTGCAGTGCCTGATATACAGTAGGCCTTTCATAAATACTTATTGACTGACTGATGATGAATGAGTTTTGTTTCCCAATCAACTACTGTTCTATAAACCAGTTCAAATTCACTGGGTAATCCAATGGATTTCAATTTTTATAGTTTGATTTCCAGTTCTTCTGCCCTACTGATTAATCAATAAGCATTTATGAAATGCCTACTGTGTGCTAAGAGCTTATACTAAATGCTAAGGATACAAATACGATAAGTGTAGCATGTGTACTCACAAAGAGCTTACGTTCTAACAGGGGAGACAGCAGGGGAAGACACACAGACTAACTAGATAGATGACAGATATACATACTTTAATCTATCCATCTATCTAAATATAAAGTAGTGTAAAGGGAGGGCACTAGCAGGAGACCTCAGAGACTCTGTGGTCTAACTCCTTCATTTGAGAACTAAGGACTGAGGCCCTGAGAGTTTAATGATGGTCCACAGTGAAGAGCAGAGCTGAGATGTGAACCCAGACTTTCTGACCCCAAAGCCAGTGCTCTTACCTGCTGCACTACAGTGCTTCTTAAGGCACCCAATGATTTGTACTTGCCTGAAAATATCCAGATTCTTTTTGGGAGTGAAGACAGTAGCAGCCCTTGAAAACTGCCCTCCAACCAACCTTTCCAGCCTTAGCTCACAATTTATGTTTCAGTAAAACAAAACAGAAAAAAATAAAAAACAGAAACCACCACCCCCTGATCTTGTCCTGCCCTTTCCCACCTCCATGCCTTTGCTCACACTGTCACTCACACCTGAGACGGATTCTGCACATCTCACCTTATAGTAATCTTCCCCTTCCTTCTAGGCCCATCAAGCCTTCTGTGATCCCCAGAGCTCAAAGTCATTGCCCTCTCCTCAAATCTCTCATAGCCCTCTGTTTCTAGCTTTCTTAGGCATTTATGGTATTCTGATTTGTGTTACAGTTATCTGTGGACATCTTATCTCCACTGCTAGACTATAAGTTCCCTGTGGACAGGCACTGTTTCATTTTGATAGTCCCAGCACCTAGAACATCCAGCAGATACTGCATCAAGGTCTGCTCAATTGCACTGAGCTGCCTCTCTCACTTACTTCGGGCGCTCAGTTTCTCGAAGGCCCTTTGGTCCAGACTCTGGTTGAGGTAGAGAAGGCCTGTGTCTTCATTGATCTGGAACCAGTCATTCTTGTGTGGCTGTGATCGGTAGCTGCTATAGAGGTGCTGGCCCAGGCGGAAGTGGGGCACCTCCCCTTGGGCATCCTGTAAGGCATGAACGTAGAGCAGGGGCGTTCCAACAGGTTCGTCGATATAGATTTTTTCTGAGTAAGTGTCCCGGGAAAAATAAAGGCCCAATGCAGCTGGGAAGGAAAAAGAAGAGAGATACTGAAATAACAACCACCAACTTCATGGAACACTTTACATGTTATTTCATTTGGGTCTTATGACAACCCTGACAAGCAGCTCACCCAGACAGACCTTCTAGCTCCAAACTAGGATCCCATATTGGTAATAACACCAACTGATGTGTGTGTGTGTGTGTGTGTGTATACATATATACACACACATATCTACACACATACATATATATGTATGTATACATATATAATATATATAATTATACATATGTACATATATGTATATGCATATATATATATATATGGCAGAGATACTAAAGAGGTTAATCATTCCTTCTCCAGCTCATTTTACAGATGGGGAAACTGAGGCACATGAGGTTAAGTGACTTGCCCAGAGTCACCCAGCTGGTAAGTGTCCAAGGGCTCCTTCACACTCAAAATGCTAATTCAATGAGGCATTGCCATTTTAAACTTTTTTTCTCTAACAGAGAACAGCTTTAGCACAGTTCCCTCCTAAAGTCTCTATCCCTATCTATGAGAGGTAAAGAGTCCAAGATCTAGTCATGCCACCACTGGTCTTCCCTAAGACCTTCCATGGCTCTCTATTGTCAATGATTATGATGATGAAAATAACAATAATAATGATCATAATAATAACAGTATTTCTGAAGCACTTTAAGGTTTGAAAAACATTATGACACATGAACTTCATTCAAAAAATCTGTTCAAGCCACAAGAACTCAAAAGAAGCTGTGGTTATGTTAAATTCTGACTGTACCAAGAGTTAAAAACAGAGACGATCCGGTCACATTATGTGCACAGCAAAGTGTTGTGTTTTTGCAAACAAGGAAATAAAATTTGGTGAAGTCATACTTTTTTAATGGCTTCCATTGGGGAGCTGACTACTTCCCTAGGAAGGCTGCCTCAGGTTTAGAATAAAATCTCTTCCTCACTGGCTTCTTCAAGAACTCACTCAGGCTTGCCTACTGGCTGATCTTTCTCACTGCACTCTCTCTGCCTGACTCCTTCCCAATTCCTTGTCTGAGTTCAGGCCAAGCTGTTCTCTTTAATCTTAACCAGGGGTGGGGAACCTGCTGCCTCAAGGCCACATGTGGCCTTCAAGTTCTCAAGTGTGACCCTTTAACTGAATCCAAACTTCACTGAACAAATCCCCTTACTAAAAGGATTTGTTTGTAAAACTTGGACATGGTTAAAAGGCTGCATCCAAGCACCTAGAAGGCCTCGGGTCCACAGGCTTCCTTCCTCACCCCTGTACCCAATCTCCATCTCCTTTCCTTTCCCTTTGCCACAAGACTCACATACATAAGTATGTGTAAACATACACACATATTTTATATATTATATATAGTATATAAAATTTATCGATGTGTATATGCATGTGCATGCATGCATTCATGTGTGTATATATGTATGTATACTGATCTTTTCACTTTGGCTAGGTGAATTTTCATTCTATTTTCCCTAGAACCAGATCTCTGTATTACTTCCAATCTCTATACCATGTTACCTGCACTGCAACCATCCTCCTTGTCTCCCTCATTGGAATCTCAGACTGCCCCATGGAAAGCAAGGCTATGAGAGCTGAGCTTTTGCCTTATCTCGTCCAGTTCTCTAGGGCACTTCCAGGTCGTCTCCACAGCTCCATACTACGTTACTGACTGTGTACCAGACGCCTCCTCTTCCCTGTCCAGCTGTCCTTTATGTAGCTACCCCTATTAGAATGTAAGTTCCTTGAAAGCAGGGATTATCTTGTTTATATTTATATCCCCAGAGCCTGGCACACTGCCTAGCACGTAGTTAAGTGCTTCATAAGTGCTTCATCTACTCAATGATTTTTACTACATTATCCTCTTATTTATCTGACTGCCTAGATTGCAGCTAGGTGACACAGTGGATAGAGTACTGAGTTTGGAATCAGGAGTTGCCATCTTCATGAATTCAAATCTGGCCTCAGACACTTAATAGCTTTGTGACCCTGGGCAGGTCACAATCCTGACTGGCTCAGTTTCCTCATCTGTAAATTGAACTAGAGAAAGAAATGGCAAAACCACTCCAGTATCTTTGCCAAGAAAACCCGAAATGGGGTCATGAAGAGTTGGACACGACTAAAAACAAATGAACAAAAAACAACAACAGATTGTATGCTCAGATATGTGTGTATGTGTGTATATATATATATATATATACATGTATATATACATATGTATATATACATATGTATATATATATATATACATGTATATATACATATGTATATATACATATGTATATATACATGTATATATACACACACATACATATATATGTATGTATATGCATATATGCATATATACACACATACATATACACATATCAGGTTACAAAGTTTCTAACAAAGAAATGTATCATCCTCTTTTTCAACAGATTTATTAATGAAATAAGACTTTCTTTTCAGAGAAATAATGCATAAGCTATGACTTCATAACAAATATCAGAACTTGAACATTTAGATTAGAATTGTCTTCAAAATAATCAATCAATAAACATTTATAAAGTGCCTACTATATACCAGGCACTGTGCTAAGTGTTGGAAAAGTCATTTAAATAAACTATATTACACAAAATATGATAGCTAAGCATAAAACAGTCACTTTGGGAAGCTATATGCTTGTTCCAACCATGCTACTACCTCCCCAAACCTTATGGGAGCTCCTATTTGAGAACTAGCTCTACAGCCTCCAGCAATGTCTGTGGGTATTGCTCTTCAATGGTGTGACAGCTTCATCTTACATGTCTGGATTTTATTTTTGGAACCAGTAAAAGATGATTAAGAGTGATGTGTACTGAAAAATGTGGGCAGTGAAACTGGGAGATATAATTTTTATTTACAAATGGGTTTTGATTGATAAGAGTAAGAGATTCCTGTTTCTGCACAATTCATAAACTGGCTTTCTAGGCAGTTCTATAATAGGAACTCCAGAGGTGTTTGAACCAATTGAATTTGGTTGGCATAAGGCAAGGCAAAACATTTATTAAGCGCTTACTATGTGTCAGGACACTGTGCCAAACACCAAGGATACAAATACAAACAAAAGAAAAGTCCCTGCCCTCAAGGAGCTCATATTCCAATGAGGGAAGACAACACACAAAAAAGAAGTCTGAAGGCGGAGTGGTGTACCCATGTGGGACTATGGTATTAAAGTTCAGAAAGTCAGAACTAGAAACAGGAAGGGAATGCAAGTTGGACAACTTGACCACTTCCACAAAAGCCAGGAGGTCCCAGGAAGATCTCACCAATGGGAGAGGGGGGCTGGCCTGGCAAAGGAATACTCTCCAAGCAGAAAGCCCCAAGGATGGATGGATATTTTAGCACCCTTCCTGCTGAGGGAAGTTACAGGGTCAGACTGCAGCACTCAAGGCACGGTGACCAAGTGCAGAGTCAGGAAAGGAAACCGGTCATTTTCCAATTTTCCACCACGAAGAGACAACATTCATTAGATTTATAACATCTGCTATTACCAGCAAGGAAATACTCAGAAATATTCATAAAAGATGTCATCAGAGTCACGTATGACCAGAAAAGAAAGCAGGATAGAGTGAGTGAAAAGCATCTTTTTGCCTTTACGCTTTATTGACATCTACACAATGTCAAAAGATATGAAGGGAGACACCCCCAAAAAACTGTTGGGTGGATCCTCTAGAGAGGATTTGCCATAATACATGGGCAAGAGTAGCAAAGGATAAGGAGGAGAGATGGATTGTGATGTAAACCACTGGCAGCTCTACTCAGATTAATGAGATCACAGATCCATCAAAGTATAAAAGTTGGTTATGGACATGTTGGTTAGGAAGTAAATCTTGTTACTTTATGGATGCATTGAAAAATAAGAGAACAGCAGTGATAATAATAATAATAGTAACTCATACAGCTTTTTGTTGTTTAGTCATGTCCAACTCTTTGTGACCCCACTGAGGGTTTTCTTGGCGAAGATAGTGGAGTGGTTTGCCATTTCCTTCTCCAGCTCATTTTTCAGATACAGGAACTGAGGCAAATAGGGTTAAGTGACTTGGCCAGGGTCTTACAGCTAGTAAGTATCTGAGGTCATATCTGAACTCAAGTCCTCCTAACTCCAGGCCTGGCACTCTATCCACTGCACTTCCTAGCTGCCCACATATCACTGGAGAATTTTAAAAGCACTCTCAAGTTCATGTCAGCTCAAGAAACTGGGAATATTGAGCCTAAAGAATACATCGGCAGGGGGTAGGGGGCACATAAGGGCTATCTGAAGGACTGTCAAGGTGTCAAGAATTGGACTTGTTCTGTTTGGTCCTAGAAAGCAGAGAGATGGACGGAAATGGCTAAAAGGCAGATTTGGACTTAACCAACAAGCATTTATTAAGCACCTACTATGTGCCAGGTACTGTACTAGGTGCTGGGACTACAAATAAAATGAACAAAACACTCTTCTACTCACAAGGAGTTTACACTCTTTGGGGGGAGACAAACCCTACCCTCCCACTGCCAGTGCCTTCCCTCTGAGCTACCCTTCTATTTTACAATGTATATATAGAATATGTCCATAGTTATTTACAGCACTATACAGCAAGAACTGTGTATTTGTTTTTGTTTGTTTGTTTATTTTGTTTTGTTTTCTTTTGTTTTTTGGTATCCCCAGCACAGTGCCTGGCACATAGTGGGAACTTAACAAAAGCCAGCTGATTGACTAGCAGAATATGAACAACATAAATAGAAAACAGTTAAATACCAGGTAATTTGGGAAGGAGGGTACTGGTGGTCAGGAAGGATCAAGAAAATAATTAGAGCTGCCCAAACACGGAATACGCTGTTTGCAGAGGGAGCAGATTTCCCCTCCTGGTAGAACTTTTAGAGTATGCCACAGAAGGAATTCTTCTTCAGGTATTCTTCAGACGAGCTGGCCACTAAGGTATTTTCTTTCTCACCAGGGGTCCTATGAGTTAATATTACAAATGAGGAAAACACG